GCAGTTCATCGGACAGCTGTGCTGAACAAGAGGAACCTCCATGCAAGAAACAGAAAACGCAGGTAATCATCGATCCTCGGATCGACGCGTTATACAACCAGGTGAGTTTTCTTACTAACCTAATCATGCATCAACAATGTGTACCAAGTACAAACGTGAATGTAAGTAACGTAAACGAAAAAACAAATGATACGCACAGTGACTTCCTAACAAATCCATCAATAGAAAGACCTAAGTCATTAGATTTAGGGGACTGTCAAACAAGCTTTGACGAGAAAAAAGTTGAAAAAATTGCAAATGAAAAACGGTTGCGTCAATTAATAAATCTCCAACATTTTAACACTCCAACGTGGCAACACATCCGTTATAAGAAGGCCTTGGTGGATATGCTCGCGTCTCCGGGCTTTTGTAATTTAAAAATAAACGACGAGCTGTGTTGTTTAGACAGAGGAAAAGATTACTTGGCCTCAACAGAAGAGATTATGGCTGCAACCACCAATGCCTTGTTATATCAAAGGGAACTATTGCAATCCAGTTTACAGGAAATTATTAATTGGGCTCACGATAACCCGACGGAGCTAAAATATGATAATCTTTTTAGTAAAATCTCTGCAACATTTGGTAAGGAATCACCATGTTACAAATTATCTGAACAAATTTTACAAATAATTTGTGGTAAAAGGGCAGAATGCATAGAAACAAGACGTAAACGATTAATTGATGAAATCTCGGAAAAAAGTATTCAAACTGCGCTTCGTAGCATTCCACCTAGCGAGGAATTTTTATTTGAAAAAACAAAGATTGACGTCTCTCATTCAGTCCCTCGGAGGGCCTCGCTTTTGGCTATCAACACCACAAGCTCTGAAAACGAAAGAGCATCAAAAATATAAAGAACCGACACCATCTACCTCCAAATACAAACCTCAGACACAAAACAATAAAATTGGTTTCCGAAATAATTATAAAAAGCAGCAAATGAAACAAACGCACAAAGGAAAAACCGACGGTTACAAACAGGCCAAGAATTATTCATTTCGTAACAAAGAAGGAAAAAAGTGACTATCCGACACATTTCAGGGGAGGTCGTTTAATTTCGTACAAAAACCGTTGGGAAGCACTGGGTGCGAACAAATTTATAATATCGGCAATCACGGGATCTCGATTACCCCTCTACAAAAAACCTCCTCTATTAAGACCAACCAGACACATTATGACGCAATACGCAACGAAGCCGTCTCATGCCATGTGTCAGATATTCAAAGACCTCTTAAATCAAGGTATTTTGAAACCAGTCTTCAAGAAAACACCCAGTTTTGTCTCCAGAATTTTTCTGAGGAAGAAAGGCGATGGATCAATGCGGCCAATCTTCGATCTACGAGAGTTGAACAAATTTGTGAAAACAAGGCAGTTTCGATTGATCTCTCACGCCTCTGTGCCAGATTTTCTCCAACCAGGAGACTGGATGATAAAAATCGACATATCTCAAGCGTACTTCCATCTACCAGTAGCAAAATCTCACCGCCCGTTCTTGAGAATCAGTTACAAAGACCAGTTATACGAAATGACATGTCTCCCGTTTGGGCTGGCTTCAGCGCCACACCTTTTCTCCTCTGTAACATGCTGGGTCGCGGAGACCTTGCGTACGAAGGGATGTCGAGTTCTAGTCTACCTAGACGACTTCCTTCTGGTCAACCAGGACCACTCCAAGTTATGTCTTCAGGCCGCGGAGGCCGTGAGGCACTTGGAACATCTGGGCTGGTACATCAACCACCAGAAATCTGTTTTAGTACCAACTCAAGGTTTGGAATACCTTGGAATACGATGGCATACGGCAGCAAATGCAATGTCATTGCCAACAAAGAGGAAACAAAGTGTAAACAGCGTGTTAGACCAGTTGTTGTTAAAAAGACACATAAATCTTCGAGAGCTGCAAAGCTTGCTAGGCCAGTTAAACTTTGCGAATTTTGTCATACCTCGAGGGAGACTCCATTGCCGCAAAATGCAAATATTTCTGAGACATTTCAACAGGGCACGACCCCGTCAAAAACGGCCGATTCCTCAAGTTGTTTGTCAAGAAATGATGTGGTGGCGCGGAGCCACAAATTACACATCGCCTGTGCACAAAAAACCTGTGACCCACTTCTTAGCGACGGATGCTTCGGATTGGGGTTGGGGTGCACATCTAGACGGAAAACTAATGTCAGGTACATGGTCAACTCGTCAAAGACGATGGCACTGCAACAAGAAGGAATTATTTGCAGTAATAGCAGCAATCAAAGGGAATGTAAGGGCACTGCAAAAGTCACATGTGCTAATTCAATCAGACAATCGGACCCTGATTGCGTACATTCGAAAGGAAGGGGGAACCAGATCTTTAGGATTACTAGCCCTAACCTTCAAACTCTTACTTCTAACAGACAAGTTCGACATAACCCTATCAGCCCACTATTTACCAGGAAGATACAACATAATAGCGGACAGGCTATCACGAGGAAAAAAAGCCCGCGGAATGGCATCTTCTGCCTCCTGTGACAGCGGAAGTCTTTCGGAAGTGGGGTCTTCCAGAGATAGATCTGTTTGCAACAAAAGGGACTGCTGTAGTAAAAAATTATGTATCACTGGACTGCAGAGATCGATCTGCAAGCTATATAGATGCCTTCAGCAGACCATGGAAACACCGGCTGGCATGGGTGTTTCCTCCTCCCAGCTTGTTGCCCAGGGTTCTGTCACACCTGAACAAGGCAACGGGAACTTACTTAATCGTAGCTCCGGAGTGGCCTCGGGTGTTCTGGCTTCAAGACCTGAAGTCCAGAGCGCTAGATCACCCACACGAACTTCGGAATCTGTCGAAGACCATGATAGACTTCACAACATTACAGCCTCCCCCACAGGTAGAGACATTGACCTTGAAAGTCTGGAAAATTGGGGGTGGGGTGCCCAAATAAAAGAATGGTCTACAGAAGAGAAAAAAACTGCTAAAGAATAGCTGGCGACAATCTACCTTATTAACATATTTACCAGCACTTAGGAGATGGATAACATGGTGCTCCAGCCGCCAAATAAACCCAAAATCTCCCCAACCTGTCGATATTGCCAAATTTTTAACGTTTCTCTTTCTAAGAGAAAATTTGGCATACAGCACCATCCTTGTACATAAATCAGCTATCTTAACATTTTGCGGGCCCCACGTTGAACAACAAACATTCTCACATTTTATTATAAAACAAATTCTTAAGGCAATAGGAAATGCCAGGCCAAAAACAGTAAAACCTTCATTTACGTGGGATCCACGGATCGTACTGGATTGGCTTTCAACAAACCCACCTAAAAGACACATTATTTGATTTAGCACGTAGAACTGCCACAGTCCTTCTGTTGGCTTCGGGTCGCAGAGTTCACGATCTAACTTTGCTCAAAATATCGAATGATAGTTTTCTAGACAGTGGAGAAAATATCTATTTTATACCAACTTTCGGATCTAAAACAGATACCTACAATTATCGACAATCTGCATGGAAGCTATCTTTACATAATGATAAGAACATTTGTCCAGTCACCTTAGTAAGGCTGCTTATAGAAAAAACTAGAACAAGAAGATCTGAAAGTGGTAATTTAAAAAACCTTTTTATCACAGTATGTAATAAAACCAAAGCCGCCTCACGTACAGTAATTGGGAACTGGGTACGCACGGTTCTCAGAGACAGTGGAATTAATGCATCTCCAGGAAGCTGCAGATCAGCAGTAGCTTCCTTAAGTTGGCTAGATCACCAATCAATAGACGACATTCTATCACGGGGCAATTGGAAATCGCCTAACACATTCTTTAATCATTACTGCCGCGAAATAGAACTCCCTAAAGAAAATCGTAACTTATTTTTCAAGACATTTACTACATCATAAATTATTAATTCACTTTAATCATAACAATAAAGTCAAACTGATTTAAAAACTTAGAACATGTATAACAAGTATGGATTGATTAACATGTCCTTCTTTTTTCTTTTTGAGCTTTAATTTCTCGAAAGCTCACATATTTGATTGTACTGTTCATTGTATATAGGTAATAATATTAATAACAAATAAAGAAGTTGTTACTATATACTATTATAACCATTTATTTCATTTCAATTTCAGACTAAGCCTTTTAATTAATCATCATAGCGTTGTGTGTTTACATATATTTCACCAGCAGATAACAAACACGTCTTCATAAACAATGCTGTATGTTTTCCGGAGGCACATCAATATAACGGTTTTACATAGAAATAAAACCGATATTATGTGCCGAGAGGGAAAACATACAGCATTGTAGGAAGGGCTTCCTGGTGAAGACTATGAGCTCTGAGAATGACATCGGCTACCTCGTCCTAGCTGGGACACCTGACACCTGTGGCGGAAGTGCCGCCATCTTTATTTTATCGTCAAGAGTACGGACCGCACTTATATGGCTAAGTATACACTGCTTCTTCATAAACAATGCTGTATGTTTTCCCTCTCGGCACATAATATCGGTTTTATTTCTATGTAAAACCGTTATATTTTAACCTGATACAAAAATACTAATAGCAAAATATTAATAATATTTATAAGGTTAAGCCTACTTCTTCTAAAAAAATTATAGTAAGTAACAAAGGGAATGCTTTTAGTATCATAAAACAACAATGACTGATGGATTAATAAGATATCAAAAAATCAAATTATTTCAGGATTAGTATGATGTAGTATATAAGTTAAAAAAATGAAACTGGATGATTTTTATAACCTTTATTTTTTTTTTGTTTATTGAAATAATAAATTCCAAATAGAAATCTGTTGTTAAGTCATTCTAGGTATTTATGATCACCTATATTAAATTATGAATAATTTTTTTTTTTAGTTTAAAAATAAAATGGCACCATTTATTTGTTTCACATCAATTTTTATATAAAAAATGTTAATGTACACAATGTTGGTACAATCAAAGAAACGTTTCTTTAGTTAGGTACAGATTTTTAACTTACCTCACCACTTCGTGCCGCCGGGGAATTTTCTTCAATTTGGTAAATAATGTGTGGCAAACCGGCTTCGCCAAGCAAAGAAAATCCAAATCCTAAGTTGTCACTACGATTCAGGACCACTAGTCTTTCGTCAGCCATATTCAGTGCAAAGCAGCATTGGTCAACATCCTCAAAAGGATATCACTGGTATCACTTATAAACACTTCATCAAAGACTACGGTATCGAATATTACTCAATAAATTTACAGAAAAGAATCATAATTACAATATACGACAAGCAAGCGCACCCAGCCAAAGCGACGACAGGCACAGATTGTATCAGATTTTGGATAGATTTAGATAGACTAAAGAAATAAGCATTATTTCTTAAATTTATTACACGTATACAAAAAGTAAAAAAATCATTCTGTTGTTCTTAAAAATTATAAGAGATTACAATTACCGATTTACAAAAATTGTATCATATTAATTATTTAACTGTCTGCAATACAGATAAATACGGTACAATTTTGGTAAAAAATAAAAATGAAACTCAAATGGAAAAATTGTAACTAAATGTTTTCACCGTTTAAAATAAAATTATTTTAAACGGTGAAAAAATAGCGGCATAATATATTACTTATGTAAATTATAATTACATTAATAACTCGTGATTGTGACACTGACAGTACAGAGTGACAGATGAGAACGTGACGTGATATCATATGAATAATGACCGCAAACGACGAGAGCTGCCAGCTAAGGGATTTCCCCCCCACATTTAGGGGGTAAATGAACACATTGAGATTTTTTAAGGGGGTTATATTTTTTGGGTTATACTTTTTCCTACGTTTTATTTCTGATAATTTTTATTGACTTATAAATATTAAGGTATGAAAATAAAGGGCCTGGATTACCGCAATCTACCCGATAATATTTATTTGTTGACCCTAGAGACTGCGAAATCTAGTACGGTTTATCACTAAGAATGCGGAGTTGATTTTTGGAGAATAGTAGAATAAATATAATAACTGTCCGTAAGTAATATAGCGGTCTAGTACAGCAGTAGCCAAGAATAAATTATAAAGAAAGCATCAAAAGTAATTAATGTTTTTATCATTCATTATAAATTTAATTTTTTAAATTGCGAACATTTACGCTGCAATATTTGTACTGTTATTTGTTAAACGTTACCGACTTCATATGGGTAAAAGTACAAGATTAGATATCTACAAGGTTTTTATAGTTTTACACCTACGTACTTGTTTTGTATAACAAACGTTTTGTTCGCTGGTGCCTCCAGTTTTTCACATTAAAGTCGTTTTAAAATAATAAAATATAGGATTAAAAAGATTAATAGCAGGCTGGGTGAAAGGTGACAGGTCTCAGGAGTTACGTGACCTACGAATGCCCCTAAAACTCAAAGGTAAGATTAACAAGACGGTGGTGAGACCTGTCATGATGTATGGGTCTGAATGTTGGGCAGCAAAAGACACAAATTAAAGAAAAATGCATGTGGCAGATATGCGAATGTTGAGATGGATGGTGTGACCAGAAATGATAAGATACGAAATGAGTACATAATCGAAAGCTTGAAAGTGACATAAGTGACTAGAGTGAAATAAGGAGTGGTAGGTTGACAGGGTATGGGCACATTATGAGTATTGATGGAAGTCATGTGAATAGAAGAGTGATGATTATGAGTATGGTTGGATGGTGCAAAGCTAGAAGAAGAACAATTAAGATTTGGATGGACTGTGTGATGAATGATAAATGTCTGTGAAAAGGGTCAGTATTGACATGATGACTGATAGACGAAAGTAGAAGGGAAGGACGAGTTGTGCCGACGCCATCTAGTTCGGGATAAGGGTAGGACAAAGAAAGAGAAGAAAAGGATCTTCGATGCAATATACTTCATTATATTATTACATTCATGTGGAAATTAAGGCAAAAATGTTTGCGTTATATATTATGTGTAATAATAAAATTTTATGTGGGGTTTTGGGGGTTTTTGACTTAAGCTTTAGGGACAAATATTTTCGAGAGTTAGTAACACTGCAGACGACAATTATAGCCAATCATAGCATAGCATTAGCTTTAGCAGTGCAACTGTAAAACAGATACAAAATATTATAGTTTATAAGTTTACTTACTATATTATTTTGTTACACAACACAAGTACACAAGTACCTAAGTGTAAAACTGTAAAAGACTTGGTTTGGTAGATCTTATATCTTGTACTTCTACTTGTACTTGTAAATTGTACCTATGTGAAGTAGGTAACGTTTAACAAATAACAGTAATAATTTGGTCAGCAGTCTGTACTATTGAGCGTATTGCGTGTAGTCGTAGTTGTATTGTGTAATAACATATTTTACGTTTTATTACATTAAATTCTAATAGCAAAATGTATTTTGTATCGAATGTAATTAAGGTTACAATTCCTAATTATTTAGCTAGTTTACCAATTCCGGATTCTTTTGGTGGATGGTTTCGTCTCGGAGGTAAGGAAATGCTGATTAGTTTTGTTAGATGGAATTCCCCGTTTTAATACAGTTAGTACTTGTAGGTCCTGAGCAATATAGTCAATCTCCTTTCACTGTTATTCTCACTTGCAAATATCCGAATTACGTTTAAAATTGTCGCCTCCTCAAAATATTATAAAATGGGAATAAAATTAGGTCAAAAGATATAAAGTATAATGAAAATACCTTTATTTTTTATTAGGCGTCCGAACTTGTTTCTCTTACTTGTGACCTTGGTTAAGAAATGTGAATCATAATGGTGACCCAATTTTGTATTAATTGTTATATTACCTTTCTTAGTTGATTTATTTTTATTTATATGATTGATAAATATCTATTTAATACATTTCATGCTTCAACAACAGTTTTAGAGAAAAATATTACTATATTTTATATAACACAATAATACAAACAGTATTTATTGTTTCAATTTGTGGTGATGAAAGTGATTGATTAAAATGCTGTTATTTTGTTTAATTTGTGTTAAAAAAAAAATTTACATAAATAATATTTTAAATCCACAATAACTCAAGTGTCCGGGTGAACGATTCAATATAGCAATGTGAGTTCAAATACCAGTTATGTGCTCAGTGGTGAAGAAAAACAATGTGAGGAAACCAGCACATTTTCTTACAAAATTCTCTTAAAACCTTTACCCAATTTGGCTTCTTAGTCAATTATTCTTATTGTTTTCTTCACATTTAATTTAAAATTTTTGTTTTAAATTTAATTTTTAATTAAATTTAGTTTGTGTTTCAACTGAAATGTAAAAAAAGAGGTCAATGCACTGAATTGACATAATTGCAAGTAATTAAAACTTTGCCTTTCAAATTAAACATAGCATGCAACATGGGTGTCAAGGATTTTGAATAGAGTCAATGGACACAAAATGATACACCATAAATATTCTTAGTTAGTGCAATGGTTAAACTCAAATGGGTTATTTAATATTTTAACCCTTTTACAGTAAAAGACTGGCTCGCTTTGGTGCCACCTACTCTTGCAGTAGGAGGTATCTCATATTATTCCTATCAAACAATTAAGAAAGCAAAAGAAGCAGGCAATGGCCAAATAAATCCAACCATAGGAAAGATATCAACAAAGTTGTTGATTTCATTGATATTGAGGATATTACGGAGAAGGCTTCATTATGTAGATGTTGGAGGAGCAAGAATGTAAGTTGAATTTTAAAAGATATAATACTATTGAGTTACGTTTAAGTATTAAGTCCCAAGAGGTAAAAAAAAAACATTACATGTAGTGTTTAATGCGTGCAATTAGTTTTCATATTACATTATGTTCTAGTTTCTATTCATATGTTATCTAATATACAAACATAATCCAATTATCTCATTTCAACATTGAGGGAAACTAACAGACTTAAATGTGTGTACCATCTATTCGCAAGACATTGTATTATGTAATTATTTATTAGTTTCAAGTTGTCTATATGACAGGCAAGGATCTTAATGCATTCTCTGCCATTCAGGTTAAATACTATCATTCAGGGTAAATAGAAAATAATAAGTTTTAAGTAGTGCTTCAATAAATATTGGAGGAAGGAAGACTTAAATAAACTTTTATATGAGTTTAGAATAAAAAAAGTATCAGTTATGTAATTATTTATTTACTTTCAGTGGCCATATTGTGATGGTTCTCATGGAGCTCATAATAAGGCAACCGGTGACAATACAGGTCCAGTTGTTGTGAGGCACAAGGAAACTAAGTAAAGGAATAACAACATTAGTTTCAAGAGTAAATGAACATCAACAAAGTGATAAAACTTGGATTTTATGAGATAGGCACACTCTACACCATTTAACAAACATCCTGCAATATTTTTATTTTTGATTATGGATTTATTTGCTACACTATCTTCAGTAGTTCATGCAAACAAATTATATATATTTGATTCTTAAAAAAATCATGGGATATTAAATTGTGTAAGGTGTGTCTATAACATTTGCTTTATTAGTTACCAAATGATAATTCAAACACAGCATATACAATATTAAATGTTGTAGAGACTAAATAAATAGTTTCGCCTTTTTTTTTGATTTTCAAATTACTATTTGTTTTTATCAATTGTTCAATTCATCAATAATAAAAAATCATGAATGTACAAATGTTATTTTTAACTACCAAAAAAAAACTGATACTGTTTTTTAATATTATCATCTTACATTTATCTAATCACAGATACATTTCACGCTTATATTAAATTTAATCAACAATAAATATCTTGAGTCGTGTCCCTTTTTAGTAAATTTTAGAATACACTTCTTATAATATGGCACAAGCTGGTATCAATCTCTATACAAAAATAGCTTTCAAATACTAAATATACTTTATGCCGCATTATTACAAAGAATGTAATAATTATCATTAAATAGTACTAGTTAATGTTAATAGATAAATGTGTTTTATCACAAATGTATAGTTACAAGATCAAAATTGTTTGTTAGACACAATGTATCAAATTCAGTCTTATTGTTAAACTATTCCTAAGATAGTTATAATAATATCCAAAACTCATTATCTGATGGTCGAAACAATCATATTTAACCATTGACGACAAAGTCTTCTTCTTCAAATTCGATAATTTAATGGGACGTTTTATAACTGCAACAAAAAAGAAAAAATATTATTAATTGAATTATTACAGGACATCACACTTTTTATAATTTTTAAACAGTATTTCCATGTGGCAACTCTAGAGAACAACCATTATTTTTAGGTCATCAATTTTAGGACAATCATATTTTGATAGTACACTTAAACATTGATTTTTAATCAGAGCCTCAATTGATATTTTGACCTTCATTGATAAAGCAGTATAAATTATAGAATAGAATGAAAGCTAAAACCTTGTATTATAGAAGTTGTTATTAAAATTTCTACTTGACAAGCCCCTGAGAATTATCGTGATATTAGATTTTATCGTGTATTTGCGAAGACTAAAATATAATAAAAATAGACCTTTAACATAGTATAGTAACATAGATTTATTTGATGCCTTGCGTTCCGCATGGTCGTTTTTTGCTTTGAGAAGCTTTAACTATTATACTAAATTTGAGCTCTGTCTATGACTAATATGTGAAGAAAAAATTTGTACCCCTTTTTACGAAAATCAGGAGCAGTATGAAATTTCCCACACTTATAGATTATATAGAGAAGGAGTGCAGAATGCTAATATTTTTTTTAAATTATACATAAAAATACATTAAATCAATAAAAGAAACATTACATGCATCATGTTCAATTAATTATGGTCGAATTTCGACCATTGGGTGACCATTGATAAAACTAACGCTTCCCTGGGTTGAACCGACTTACTGACTGACCCACTGAACCGACCACAATTTTGGAGGCAGTAATTAGAAAACTGCCTCACCGAATCATAGATGGCTGAATTCACACGAACTTTTAAGTCTTTAACTGGTAAGAAAAAAAGAACTGAAAATTACGTCTATGATGGTGCTAGTTGCACAGTTCTGTAAACACAAATTATAGAAAGCCAAACATCCCAGTCCGTAGAACGATTATATCATACTAATGACCCACAAAAATCGCTCTCCACTTGTGTGGTGGGTGAGAACCCACTACCGGCGGCTCTAAAGTTAGCCTCTTAGCAACTGCGCCATCAACAGCCAAGGTTGGCAAATGTTTAAATTTTTGACAGTATATTGTTACTGACGAAAGTATAGGTATTCTTATCTTATGTTTAATTAATTTTATCCGTTATTATTAATATTATAATTAAAGTTTATAACTTACTTCAATCCGGGTTTCCGCAATTGCCTCTTCATTTCTGAGAAGTTCATGTTTTAGGCCGTTTCTCTTCCTGAAAGTTTATACAATTTGTTAATTTTTTATATCGAATGAAATCGACGCACATCTTAGACATTAGTATATCATTTTAGCAGTATGAGGTAACGTTTCACCTAAATGGTTACGGGGAAAAATACTGCTTAATCATAGACGGAAGTAAACTGGAAACGTAGTGGTGAATGGTAAATGGCAAGTTCTGAGTTGTACCTTTATATGTTAAAACTATTATTATATAGTATACTGTGATGCCGAAATGACTAAATATTCTGCCATTACTAAATAAAATTGAGATGAATATAATTATATCCTAATATAAATCCTTCAATAGTGGAGTCAATATCTAATGTTGGAATTCTGCTAATTTGCTAGAACTTTGTAAAAGGCGGTCGCCGAGACTCATGATGCGAACTCTGTCAATAACAGTTTTACTTACGAAAAAAAACCCGTCTACAAATATCTCACTAAAATTTCCTATTCGATTATGAGAAGTTCCCTGAAGTATCTTCGAAATTCAAGACCAAATGCCAATTAAATTAAAATGGGAACCGATTGAATTTGTCCATTCCAACAAAAAGACAATTATCCAATTCGGTTATAAGTGACCGACTTTTGAGGTGACGAGCATTAAAAATACAACCGAACTGAGAACCTCCTCCTTTTCGAAGTCGGTTGAAAAGAAGGCCTTTTTAACTTATGCACTGCCTGAATAACACGAGAATCACATATCAATATCGAGGCGATAAATGCGACATCATTTCCAATGTTATATAGAAGTGTAGAGACATAATAATATAGTATAAATTATAAGCAACCTCGTGACACAAAAAAGAACAGAATTACCATCTCGATCATGTCAGCTTTCAAACAAAAATAATCGTACCATAATCATTCGTTTATGCCACTAACGGGTACACAGGACACGTCAAACTTCTAACACCACTCTTTTTACGTCAGGGGTTAAAAAGCCATCAAACTCGAATGAACGCGACCGAGAACGTGCCTCCACGTGTTCCGTTTCCACGGCGCAGTTCCCGTCCCACTAGCTTCCTACGCAGCGGTGTCGGGATCACGCGTATTAAGTTACCCCGTACAATGGTCGTGTCACATTACACGGGAAGCCACGAATAAAGCCAGCGTGGACCCACTCGTCTGTAGAAGCCTTAACGTGAATATACGAGATATTTACGAGGGTCGTTTACCATAAACCTCTCCTCGGATGGAATTGCTCAATTCCGATGAACCGGCCCTTGTTAAGTGTTCGTAAAAATGTTTTGTATTTAGAGAGCGCATTCGTTGTTTATTTAAATTTCCGATCATGGGCCTTTACTACAGACGTTTAGAGTACCTATTTTGTAACTGTGTTCAAACATCGATGTTCTTTAGAAGACATCGCATAAATTTGACAGCGTGATAGGATATGTGTAGGTTATCCTATGCGCATACGTGTAATAAATTACAATCAGGTATTATAAAATCAGGTTTTATTGTATTAGTATTTAAATTAGTAGATATTTCTAAAATACGTACTATAACGCAGGAAAAAAAACGATTATTTTCTGTTATACCCTCAATAAATCATTAATAACACCATTGGAGAACAGCTGGTTAAAGTAAATCCTATAGAACAAGAAAAAATACAAAACTGTAATAAGGTACGAGTGAGTCTAACGATGTACGAGTGAGTATTAACCGACTCGTTAAAGATTCGCCCTGCATAGTTAAAATATTTTTGATTTCGTGTCCCAAGGCGTAATTAAGTGGCGGTGGTTGTTGCCACTATCCATTAGCCGCAACCACGGACTCTGGGTTTAAAGCTGGAACTTACGCGTTAAGCAGCTCTAGCGTCGCCTGAGCGAAAAAAATGACAATAGTTGCGCGAATTAAATCCACGTCAATTATTCACAATTCATAAATACACTACACACGACTTTAAATCTTCTTTCGAACCACTTGCAATATCGAATACAAATGGTCTAAATAAAACTGTATTATTATTTTGATATAATAAATCAACTTAAGATTATAAACCGATCTCTTAAAAAGGTTGTACTTATTCAACGCTTTGTAGAAAAAATGTAAGGAACAATATACAACTATTCGATATTTAGGTCACAATTAACGTTTATCTTTTTAACAATGTAATAGTATCAGGGCGGTCGATGATTGGAGGTAATCAATTGAAAGGTCAATATGGGTCAGTAGATTCAGTTCAAGTAGATACATAAGATGCGACTACTTACAGGTATATTCTCCTCCAGACGACGAGCGATGTGTAGGCGACGCATACTATGGAGCAAGTGACCACGACCATTATTCCGGCGGCCGCGCCAATAGGCTCGCCTCTCGAACCTGCATACCGTAATCTCTGTGAGTCCCTACGCACTGTACCGCCTGGGACTATGGACATAAAATTTACAAAGTCATTACGTCTCAATCACATCAGCATGAATGATTATGGGGATGATTTGGTTAGGGCACAGGATAATTTAATAATGTCATAATATAAGTTTTCTAGTTTATCTTTTTATTGAACGAAACCGTTTTACCAATTCCGTGGTGTTTTTTTTTTATATATCGCGATTGCGGCAACCATGTTTAAAGACAGTATGACACAAAAATTGTTAGCAATAAATAATTCGTAATGCATTTTGTTTGCCGCATTAATGATGAGATTTGGATCTTTATCACTATATAGAACAACAATTTAAATGCACTCAAATGACGAGAACTATAAAACGTAGGGACGTATTAAATATGCAATAAGAATGACGACCATATGTGCGTTAAAGATCTTTAGTGGGACCGTAAAAGACTGCCGCTTGTTTTGTATGCGGAGGCTGCAGTGTTTGCCCATATAAATATTGGTTCTAGCAATGTTTCTCCATGTGTCTTACGTATTATAGATTAAAAGACTGAGTCAAAACTATTGAATACAAAGTGGGACGGAAAAAAAGGCCTGATTTATATTGGCCTGTGCAATTGCAAGAAGTGTGGTCGAAGTTTAAGCCTTATATAACGTTAATTTTTTAGTAACAGGATTCTTATTAGAGAATATCGCAAAGTACAGGGTGGTTCGCCTGATGGTCAGTAATTGACTCACCCTCTAAGCGAAAGCAAAGGTATTAAAACCCTTATTTTATGTCGTTCTGTGTGAGGTACTTCCCCGGACGATCGGGAACTTAGAGTGACATGCTTGGATGTATGTACATATTATGTATTGAAAAAAAGTTAATGTGTTGCAAATAAAATTATCTGTTCATCAAAATGATCTACATTTTATATTTCGGCTCTTAATCATGTCATGAATGATTTTATATTCGAAACAGAAGCATAACATTTTTATCAAAGACTTGAAAGACTTGCAAATATCGTGACACTAGTTTTTTTCGTTGAAGGTTTTTATGATAAAACCTTATCCAGGTCTGATATACATAAATTCACGCAATAAAGATTTCGGCTATTAAGCATGATAAAAATTGCTATCGCATTTCTAACGCCCGCTGTGGTAAAGTTATTTGTAAAAACAATTAGGTATTACTAATATGTAATATAAATATGAGAAAATCTTTCACATAAAATTAAATATAAATTTTAATTGTTTTAAAAATTTGTATAATTATCTCTTTTAAGCTGATTGTATTTAAAAGAAACTGGTTAGTGCTTGATTATCATCCTATATGATGGCAAATGATTATGTAGGTCAGAGAACGAGTTAGCATGGAAAGAGTCTAGTCACTGCTCCTAAGCAATAGTGGCCGCACTGAAAAATTTAATAAACACTTTCCTAGTATTAAACTCGTCCATTTACGTAGTGCAGATTTAAATACGATTAAAATATTTTGGTTCAATCATAGACGTAGTAGTACTACTACTTTTTACTATTAATAGTTTTTTTACTATTTGACGTAATGAAATCTTGAATGGGTCCAAATATTTTAATCGTCTAAAAATGCTAAAGCGGATTAAGAGCCATTAAGAGAACTTGCTCGGTTGATTTCTATAAGCGACAAGAAAGGTAAAGTAACTGAGTGTATGGGTATGTAAATAAAAGAGGTGACAGGAATTTCGGTGGCGATTATCTAGTTAATGTAAGTCCCTCTGTCAGAACGAGGGATAAGAGTGGATTCAGAAGACCCACGTAAATTGGAACTATTTGTCTTTCGCGTTTGGTTAGTTGAGGTAACCGGAGTCAATGGAGTTTGCATCGCATCTGCATACGCACCGGCGTAATTTCTATGAGGCGGTAATTACTAAAGGTTAAATACACCACATGCTGCAAAACAAAACGTTGAAGGGGCAAGAATGACGTGCAAGGACCTAATATTGTTGATATTCTTAAACTTTCCTACGTATTCGATGTGTGTAATGCGTGTGTTTTACTGACTAGTGTACTATACCTTGCAAGAACTCGGCGTCGGAGTCTGGTACCGAGGTGACTTCGACACGAGTGGCCTCTGAGTCTTCGGGAAAAGAGGGCAGGTCTATGTGTTGCTGGTTGTCATCTCGGGAATGGAGCATGTCGAACACCTCCGAACTGGTAACACGTTTAACATTTAATCACGTAATGTTTAAGTGAAATTAGCCGATAAAAATAATTATTGTTATTGGCATCAGCGATTAGTTTTAAGGGCTAAGGCCCCACTTCAGAGTTGTATAGTCGTCAGATACTTATAGATCTTTCAGACTGAACCAATTCAATGCTAGTTGACGTCTCTAAGTGTCTCCGTCTGCCTTGAACACTTCCAAATTAAATGCCGCAATGTGAATCATGAAATTTAACACGACAAAAGTTACGAGATATTAATTATATCATTAAACTCCAATGTAGAATTTGAACAGATTTTAGCCTAAACGCGTCGAATATTTCAATTGGCTCAAAAAATCGCGTACACATAATTGTTGAAACCACACATATTATGTTTACCACAATTCCATTAAGAAAAAAACAAAATGCTTCAAAACTAATTTTTATACTTCAATATAGCTAGTTATTTAAACGAATTAACTCTAAATAGAGTTCTCTACCAATGCGGTAAATCTGTAATAATTAATTTTAATTAATAATTAATTTTTGTTAATAAAAAATATATACCCTGAAGATATTCGTACTTAAATTTTATATTTCAACCGGTCGCCCTAGGTTATAGTTGTACTACGTAAGCCGTATATCATAACGAGGTCTTGTTTTAAGAAGGAGACGCATGAGACGCAAGCTAGATACATTATTTACTGCGAACAAGCGAGAATCTGCTTGCGTCGTAACACAATTAATGGCTTCTACGGCATTGGCTCAAGAGTAGTTCGGTACATGGTTTTAATAAGGTTTTTGTCCATTCTTAACGCGTCTGTGACATTTAAAATGAACTATATAATCTACAAATATGGACTGATCAAGATATAAGTCTACCAACTACTAATAAGACATATTAGTATGTATACTTCTAATGTCTATACTATACGAATAACTAAGTCAATCATACATTTGCTATTAATAAGGGTTTGTCCATCTGTAACGCGTTTACGAAATTTTTAATGAAGTTCATTGTCTACAAAGATTTTTTAATCATAATTTTGTAATTGAAGTACATTAACAAAAGTATTGATATATTTGTAGAGCCTAGTCTGTCAATTGGGAACTTTTGAAAAAGTATCGTATTATTTACAATTTAAATAATATTGTTGTCGACTCTATCACTCACCTGCTAACGCCATCCTTGTCGTCCACTAGAAGCTTTAAAAGGGTAGCGTTTGCCTCCAAAGTCTTGTAGCGACTGTTATCTTCGATTTCCCTGAATACGCTCGGCGTTGTGCTCTCTCCAACAGATGCATTTAGAGTGGAAGTCGATTGGATACCTAGAAGGAGAGAACTAACGTTAGATACAACGCTACTTACATAATAATAGAGTGCAATGTTTTATATCAAATAAGTTTTTGTAGGACTCGGTTGGTTTAATTCGAGGAGTCGAGAGCAGTACGTTCGGTTTCCTCCCGGGACATGTATTATTATTGAGATACAGGTAATTTAAGCCAAATTGGGTTGTACATCTTTGTTAAACCACTTCGTGAAACAGGATTATCCCACAGTGGCAGGGAAACGTGCGGGAAGTCGATAGATGCCGGTGGCTCAGTATCGTGCTTCGTGGCATTTGTGGGGTAGGCCTATGTTCGGCAGTGGACTCGAACAGGCTGAAATGACGACGATGGTGAGGTAGGAAATGTGTTTTGAAACTAAAACAAATAAAATAAAATTTGCCTGGAATGTTAAAACATGCGTTTCCAGTTTCTTACCACTGATTGTTTTAGTGTAATGTATGCGTAGATTTTTTTTATTACCTCGACACAGTTATATTAACGTTGACGTAATGAATGAGTCAACGGCTGTTTAACGCGAGTGCCCAGCACGTGGAGTGCCACTTAGCTTATCCTAAGGTAAACATCCAGTGGGGACCGCGCATTTCTGTGGGCCAGGCGGAACGCGAAGTTAATTGTATGCTTAACGGTTTTTAGAAACCCGGTTAAAGCGCTCGTATTAAAAAAAAGAATTTAATATCTCGGCAACACAACTTCTGCAGCACGAATCGCTGAGCTGTTTCAATTTAAATGCGTTATTCCAATGACCTCGTATTCCGAAGTGAAAGCTTTGTTCGACAGAGTACCAAACTTCTAACAGGCAAATCGAAGAGAAGAGCTTCATTGAGATATAATTTATTTTTCATTCATATGAAATTCGTTAGAACCGTTACTCTAACGCAAATGACGCTATTGTAAAATCCAATTGCTTCGAAATCGTGTCAGCTGTAGAGTGGTTTTTAAAAGGTTTAAGTTATTCCACTGAAGTAGATACTGGTCTAAGTTGAATTAAGCAACTGTGCGCCATAAAAAATCTTTTTTTTCAATGTATTTGAAAAACATCACAGGATAATATTATTCTGTGTGTAAGGACTTTTTACATACATTTTCAGACAGATTGTGAGTCATACGAATATTGGCCAATCGAAGCCGAAGCCAATACATTAACAGTTGCGCAGGCCCTAATATAAAAAGTTCTGCTGGACTACTGGTTCATCAACGGCTAGCAGTGTCTACGGAATTTAAGATCTATTTGTCGGAGTAAACTGTATATACCAACCATACTTGTAGCTTATTAGGTAACAATTGTCCCAGGTTTTATTTTATTTAGTCGACTGTTTACTTATAAGTTATAGCAATGTCACGCCATGCCGCTATAACTTGTGTGTCCGATATGGTGTGTGTTGTGGGTCCGATAGGATAAAGGTCAGATTTGTGTGAACCACACATTTATTTGGAGTTTTTATTAAGGAAGGCTCCAGATCAGGGTGTGGATCATTCTTTAGTGCTATAGGAAAGGAAAGGAATCTTTGATGAAAATAAAGCTAGTCCAATCTAAAGTAATATACAAGAAATCTGAAAATGTATAATGATTTATTATCTTCATTCTAGCTTCATTCGATTTGGCGAGAAATGCCCAAATGTAAATGTTATTTTTCATCTGCAACAAATGTAAATAGACATTTATAATGTACATATTTAAATCATGTTTCTAGTTACTTGAACGTACCAACAAGACCCATATCTAATCCGTAATGTCTACCGACATTACTTCTTGGAGGGAGCGTTTCCGTTTCGTAGTTATCAGACGTTGAGTTATTTAGTGCTTTATTTATCAACGTTTGTTGACGACGAACTCTATTTATGTTTTTAAAATATTCCACAAACTAGGACATGTGGAAAGGAAATGTAATATACGTGTTTCCGTGAAACGTAATATTCATTATATCTTTTAAATAAATATCAAAAGAATCCTTAATCTAGTATTATCTATGAATGAAATTCAAAAAATGCAGGTCTGAAATATCTCTTCAAAACTTAGCATATTTCGCAGACTACACATTATTAACGACCGGTTTCAATATTATATTATCTGTAGATTTGTTTACTAGACAAGACTTTTGATGTAAGTATTATGGATCTAATGTATAACACCTGTCGCTATTAACCAAATCTACAGATAGATTAAACCGGCCATAAATGGTATAAGAACATGACAGTCGTTCCGGTGACAATGAATTCTAAGAAGTCTAGAATTAAGGTTGAGATAAACTCAATCAGCCATTTGGCTTAGTGGCTAAAGCGTCGCGCCGCGAATGCCGGAGACGTGGGTTCGATTCCCACAGCGGCGACAATCTTTTCGTACTTTTTATACAAATTTTAATTGAGGTAAACTCGTTATACTCCGTAAAAAACGATTTCTTTTAATAAATGAAATCTATTTAACTGTTTTATTCGTCGTCACTTTGTCGGATGTACGCATGTGTTACATGCAAACCAAGTCTCAGGTAGGTAAATTCATTGTTCAATCAATTGTTGATTATATTGACCGCTTATCGCTTGTAAATAGTTGATAATATTATGAACTGTCGCTGTATTAATATTAAAATATTTATCATACATCGGAGAAATCCTCAAAATCAAGTAGAAAATGTATAGTGTTTAGTTTGTTATTGTTGAGCTTTTGTTAGTAAAAATGTTATATAAATATGCATTTAGTGAATTATAGTAACATACGTGTTTGAATAGTTGTGTAAAATTTATTAATTTTTTGATGGAATATTTAAACAGTGTACATATAGTTCAATATAACACAAAAAGTCCTATTAGAGAAGGCTCAGTGTCATTTTCAATAAACTCTTTACAAAGATGTACAAAAACAAAATGTTTCTCTATTAGCTGGTCTCTACTCATCTCTATTTGTCTCACTTAGGTGCATCTTTTTAGTCTTTGTCGAGTCTATGAGTTGTAATGGCTCAGTGTTCGGGCTCGACTTTAATTCAATATATTTCAGCAACCCGGTCTTAGATCCCGTTCCCAACACCAATAAAATTGTTAATTTTAAGTGCTGACTTATCACGTGCTCAGCTTTGAAGGAAAACATCGTAAAGAAACCTGCATATTTCGAAGTAACAATAAAATATTTCGAAGATATGTGAAATTCGTCAATTCGCAGTGTGTTCGTGTGGTGGACTATGCACTAATAGCCTTAGTACAGAGGAGACATTTGCCCAGCAGCGGGACATGTATAGGCTGTTAATTTTACTTTACTACACTGAGTCTTATATGTGTTACATGTATTAGGCTGGTAACATGGTAACTTTTCTGTGGCGACATCTAATGTTGTGAACGAGTAGGTACACCGTAAAATACAAAGGCACGAAGCGATATTTCGTGTTACTGCATAGAGGATAATTGCCAAATTATGCAATTAACTGCCAAAAAAATAATTACATATCGGAGAAGCGTGACAGCGTTAGCGCTTAAAATAATTTAAGTAAGTTTCGTTCGACCTCTTTGTAAAGAAATCTTACATTGTATTGGTTTCGCAAGAGAATGAAGTAAAACGGTAAAGTTTTATTCACACAAGAAGCCCCGTCTAGAATCTTCTTTATCCGGTCCTAAATTGGTTAAGTGTTTGGTTATCATTCAAGCTATTAGGGTTGGCATTTTCGTGTGTGCATCGTTTTATTGAATTTAAAAAATGATACATACATTTAGTATGTATTTGACTGGGCTATTTTGTTAAAAAAACGATATCAAAAGCATTAGCTAAACAACTAATGTTGCATAGAAATTAACTGCTTTAACATTAATATTGATATAAAATAATGTTTTAATGCGAACAATATTTTGATAAAAATATTGTTCGCAATACAATGCCATTTAATTAAAAAGTGCTTAGTAAATTTGAAGGAAGTTTTTTAATAATTTTTTCCGTATCATCTCAGTCCAGCCCTATTCACTGTTTTTTTTTTGTTTCCAAAGTTTTCCTAACCATTGTTATCGAAGTACTGCTAAATAATATTTTCTCAAAATCATGTATTTAGCTTGTTATTGAAAATGCACAAGAAGGCGGCTCACAAACCAGTTTAGAACTGATATAAGATGTCGGTATCGAAAGTGACCATGCATTTCGCCGGGCCCAGTTTTTAGTCCACGGCGGGATTAACTCTTACATTCAAATATTTTGTGATTACGTTTGAAATCATAATAACGGTCTATCTTTATTTAAAATTCGAAAACGAACGATTTTTAACGCAATATATATTATAGATACATTCCTCCATGTAAAAATTTTAACATGTTTTATTATAGAATATTTGTAACTATTAAAATAGGTGGCGCTTCGCCATTATATTTGAATTTTCTAAAAATATCATTCAAAAACTTTTTGTCTTTCGACTGAAATTTTAAAATGTAATTATTCGTGGATCCGTTGCAATTTTTTAACGGTGGTAGGGCCACGCAGCAGCCTCGGTTGTTGCACGAATGGGCCGGCTCGTCCGGTTACGTACCACGACCTCACAGAAGACCGGCGTAAAGTGGAAGTATAATACGTTCGCGTTTCGTCTGGTGAGTGAGGTAGCCGGAGCCCAATTATCAATAGGTTGTCAATTCATCGCAAATCCTTGGGTGTAGCAGATGTCCGTGGGCGGTGGTATTCACTTAACATCAGGTTAACCACCTGCTCGCTTGGCAACTTTTCACATGAAAAAAAAAATTATTAGACAGAGAAGACATGGTATGAGTTATGTACCCAGTAAATCTGCAGTTCTGAATCATTGTAGATTGAATAAAAAGACTTTGTCATGGTTCCATTCCAAAGGTAAAATGATCTCAGCGGCAAGAGAGGTCGCTCTAAGGTAAATAAGATTGAAATCTCTGTTATTGACGGCCAAACGAAGTTATGAATCACTGGTTTATTCAATTACTTCGTAATACTACGAGCTGTTAGCGTGTAGGTAATGTTTGCTTAAATTTAACTCGTTTCCGTATTACGTGTCGTATTTCTTAGTTTTCGTTAACAATAGATGGGGAGTATATCATAGTCAAAGAGGCACTTTACAATGTTCGGACTCGACTTAGTCATGAAGGAGTCGTTAATACAACAACGTATTATGCATATATGATTCTTAGTTGAGGTGAACAATTATGCACTTGTATTACAAGTCTCTTGACGCAGGCTACGGAAACGAAAGGTCCGTTAGGTCGATCTTAATTAATGCCATATTACAAACAAAACTAGCAAAGACAACACAAGTGTCTTGCGTGCTTATGCTCTGATCAAAACGACGTTTTATAATGTCCGTTATCGGGAATATATATTTAAGATACGATTACGAATAAACATTTACGGTACCTATTTAATAAAGCTTTGAGCATGATTCTTACTATTTTTTTTAATTATTTGCATTACATCTACAGCGTAAACATTTTCCTGAGAATCTGTATGAGTCACACCTACGCGTTTAAGAAATGATTTGCTTCCGAGAACGGTACGTAGAAAAGGCGAAAGCCAATCATTATAATGCAATTAGATTGATAGACGATACGGAGTGATTAATTATGTTGTAATTCATTGGGCTTAATTTACGTTTAATCGTCAAAATGTTTATTGTTAGCGTGCTTAATAAGGTGAGTATTAAGGGAGTAATAAATTTTTCATTATTTACACAAAAAGTACTGGGTTCCATAGAAATTGAAGTATAGTAAAGCTAAAAAGTCTGCCTTTATTCTACTAGTTTAAGAGGTTGAGTTTCGAGTTGTTTTAGAACATCAACACGCAAAAAATAGTGGCGAGGTCGAAACAGCGAAAAGTCAACATACATCGGAGACATAATTTATTCATTTTATGTGACTTACTACTACTATGTGGATAACACGGAATAAATAATATATAAAATGTTCAGACAGCTGCTGTCTGACAACTTAGACAAGTAGGTCCATAATTATATTATATAACTAAATATTATATCAAAATTTAGACTCTTACCTATCGTAGTTACAGCAAAGAAATAGAAGAACTGGAATCGCGCCATCATAAAATACTGCCCTGTAAATTAATTGATTAAATGGGATAAGTATCCACGAGTGGCTTACTCTAACGAGAGCGGAATACATTACTACATTTTATCAATTATTTGACCCCATTTTGATATCAAAACATTATGGTGATTCTAGTTTAAAGTAAAAATAATAATAATTTTATTAGTAATAGAGAGAAATTATAAAATATTACTAGATGTTTATAAACAATATGTACGTATTATTTCCCAGCTGCCGATAATTAATAATAAATAGCGAATTTAGAAAGATAATCGATGTATTATTACCAAAAGTTAAAATGTCCATGTCCAGCAGCGCATTTAAACAGTCTGAACGGAAATGATGATGGTGATAAAATATATATAAGGTATAAAATTATAAATGCAATAATTTGAGCGCCTCATATAAATCGTCAAACCTATGGTATTCAAAAATTTTAAAGATATTTTTCAACTATAATTAACATATTTTTAGTTCTGACATTCATAAATAATTCATAACTAAAACACTGCGATAAAATAGACAATTAACGATAAGAAGAACGAGAATGATAACTCTAGATATAAATAAAGTAGTATAGAATCTGAACTTTCGCGATGGGAAACTCGAAAACCCGTTCCGACCGAGACATTGACATGTTTAAAAATACCTGGACGCGTTTCGGGATGTGTTCCGAGGGAAGACTGCCGTTCGTGCCAACTTAATGCATTAGCCACTTTATCGTCACAGCGTTTTTTTTTCGCGTATTGCAGCCGAATGTCAAACGCGCTATGCGTGCGCGGCCTCCGGTTCCGTGCGGTATTCTGCGATCGCGTTCGCGCATTCGTTGACTGGACGCGGTAGCTCTGAATGCCGGTGACCTCAACGATGCGGGAAGTTCGACTGAGCTGACTGTCGCATTGGATGCGGTACAGGTAATGGTATAATTAATGGAGTTCTCAGTTCTCACTAGTGAACGTGAATCATCGGGATCATCGGCACTATCGTCATCATCAACGGTAATCACTTACGCGATATACTTTTAAATTTTCTATTCTTCTTCTTCAGCGTGTGTTCGCCCACCGTTGGGCATACGCCTCTCCAATTGTCCTCCATTCAGCGCGAGTAATCGTTTCCTTTGTTCAGACTGGGCCTGCTGTATTAAATATTATTAAACATTTTATATGCAAATCAGTGGTGTGTGGCGTTTATTTAATAGTTTGTCGAAAATTCTAGTTTACTCAGTCGCGAATATGCACTTAAATAACATTTTCATCAAAAACAAATCACTTACGTCAACTGTTTGTAAAGTGGGCCCCGGCTACCGTACTAACCAGACGAAACGAAGAAGTTTAACAGTTCTACTTCACGTCGGTCTTCTGTGAGGTCGTGGTACTTTCCTGGCCGGACTAGCCCATTCGCCCAACAGCAAAGACTAAAAAGCTTTTGCTAGAAAATAAAGTTTATTAGGCATCTACTAAGGTTAGATGTTACACCAATTACTTGCTTAATTTCTTTCCTTGTGTCCAGAGTCCAATATATTTATCAAATAGGTTCCCAAATTAAATATTGTGTTATATCTTCACTACATTTTTAACACATCTACATTTTTAAACAAGCCTAATTATCATTATAGGTATACGTTTATTTTTCAAGTGTGTTACTATTAAAAGGTTTTTATGACTTAAGTTATTTATTTAAACGCTAGTAAAACGCCAATCGATGTCTCTGATTGCGAGCTATGTTGTTGCCAGTATCATCTAAAGTTGTTGCGGTAAAAGTTCATTCTTTGCTTCACGGCGCTGACCTCAGGAATCGAACTACGTCCCCCTGCGCAGACCTCATCGGCAGCCATGCTTCCTTAAAGCCTCGCGGCGTTAAGGTCTGGTTAAATTTTACTTTTATTGTGATTCTGCCCCCGACCCGACGAGATTAAATCGGTGACGAATTCTGAACATAGGCGTATATAGCAGGGGGGCCGGGTGGGCCATGCCCACCCCAGTATCGTCAGGATTTTGGTGATTCTAAATTCTTGGCTGGATACCTAAGAAACTTCTTAAAAAATAGTTGAAATGAAATAATTATCTACAGCTGAGAAATCTATTTACGTAGGTACTTAGTTTTTATTAAAAAATTATTAACGGCAACGAACTGTTAATTTTCTAATGCGACGCATAGTGTTCGATTTTTTTGTAGTAAGGGCCCAGGCCCACCCTGAAAAGTAATTCTAGATACGCAAATGATTTTGAAAGTTGACTTTTAAGTTCAAAACGATTTCTTTAGAGATTACTCTCGTAACCGCGAGCCCGCGAACCAGGACGGACATACGGCCCGAAACGTTGCTCTGCCCCCGCTTTTTAAAGCTCTGATATCATATAGATATTCATTTTAATGACTATCTGTAAAGGGCAATTTTGATCTACATGAAATTCACAACGTATCTAATGTATTTACTTGGATAAGGAATTTCAGTTTTATTTAAAATAGTTGGGTAAAAAAAATTATGGGTTATCCCATAATTTTTTGTAATATGTAAAAGGTATAAATGTTTACTGCGTGTTATTCTTAGGAGATAAACATATACCGTCGCAAACTGTTTCTTATCGACCTTTTTAAGATAATCAATTCAATTGTACATTAATTTGATCATTACATTTAATTGTACATTAAAGGTTTGAATAGTGTTTACAATGTAAGCGCACAGAAATATGTATGTTACAAATCTTTGAATTTCTCGACTTTTCTCTACTGTAATATGCAAGTTTACCATATTTTTTTTTTTTTTTTTTATAAACAATGCCCTCACTTTGGGATAACATTATCCTGTGTTGTAAGGACGTTTTACAAACATGAATTTCACTCGGACAAACACCCAGAACCGCTAAAGAATGCCAATGGCTGCCAACCTTGATCAGACCATTGCTGTAGAGCAGCGCTGACATGAGTGTTGGAGGTGTCCGTGTACAACCCTAAGCGAGAATCTCGTTTCGGATGTACGAGCATGGTAGCCTCTGTAGGACTATCGAGACATTTGTAGTAAGCACGCTCCAAGTCTGGTGTCCAGGGCATGCCTTCCAGAAACCTATCAGATTGCTGACTAGTCAAAAATCCACAAGTGGAGCTTGCAGCTTGGCGGCTTTGGGAGAAACTGGCGATAATTATTTACCATCCCCAGGGAGCGTCTCAAACCTTGTACTGTTTTGGAAAGCGACAACTCGCGGAGAGCAGCGATCTTTTCTTCTGGTGGGTAGATATCAAGGCAATCAAGGGCCTTATAACCTGGGAAGATTACCTCACCTGCTCCCAATACGCTGCACTTATCTACATTGACAACGACGCCTCCACCAGTCTTTGCAGGATTATGCGCAGGTGTTTGGTGTGCTCTTTAGCGTTCCGTGAGAACACAAAAATGTCGTCAATGTAGATAAAAGCAAAGTCTAGTCCGAGATTCATCGATGAAACGTAGGAAAGTTTGGCCAGCGTTGCGTAACCCAAATGACATATAGGGGAACTCGAAAAAGATTAAATGGCGTTCTTATGGAAGTTTTGCAAAGATGGGTGAGCAGTACCTATACCCGACGACAACATTTCATTAAACTTCTCAGCAATTTAAGCTTGTTGGGTGCTAGTCGGCGAGGACGCCATGTAACAGGCGGCCTACTGGTTTTTGTTATATAGTGTACAGTGCCGTGTTTTAATTGACGATCAGCTGTTGGGCGCGTTACTTCCGGAAAGTCTAAAAAGAGTTGACTTAACGGGGAATCGCGAGACTTTTTTACCGTCCTAATACTTGGCTGCCTTATACTGCAGTTACAACAAGATGCGGATAAGCTGGTGGCAGTTTATTGGTAGGAGGAGAAAGAAGGCTAGGAAATCTGAAACTATAATAATTGGGACATCCACGTCAGTACAAATGAACTCCCAGCGAAATTCACGCCTCAGTCCTAAATTGAGGTTTAGATTAACTGTGACGTAAGTTTTAATGGAGCTGCCGTTAGCCGCATTAAGAGTAAGTCCTGTATTTGAGAAACGTCCTTTTATCAGTCTTCGTGGAAAACGGCAAATTCCAAGAAGATATTTTACAAAAAGTTAATTTAAGTATTTTGGTCGGTAATAAAAAGTTGCTGGACTGTGCGCGGTCGGTACTTGCCACGTACGACCGCTCCCTTAGCTTAAAGGGTTGGTAGCTCCTTCATTGGTCCGGCTGCATCCTGGCATGCATTTACTTGCTTTGACGCCGAAACGATCGTGGTACCAGCAAAGGCGTGAGCGCGAACATGGGCGGCTCTGCTGTTGAGTAACGCGTGAACTCCCAGATCTTCCATGGGAGTTTTTTTGAGCGCTGCGATTATTCGCGTCAATTCCTCGATCTGCCGTCGCATTGTCGCGAGAGCGGGAACAAAAGAATAGTGCGCTGAAATCGAAACGATAGAGCCTACTTGACTTGCCATGGTTTAAATGAAAGATAAGAAAAGGTCAGATAGCAAAACGCTTTAACAGAATAAGGACACAGAAAAAATCGGTAAATACACGTACGAAACAATTTTAGTATTGCGCAGCAAATGTAATAATAAAATTAAGTAAACCTAACTTTATAGTCTAAATACAGCATAAAATGTTACTACTATCTTAAGTGTAAAATAGTACTGAACTTTCACTGGAACAAGTGTAAACGCAGCATCTGTCGCGAAGTGTCAGTGGAGAGCTGTTAGTCACCTGTCATAATGTTGCGGGAGTATGCCCAAATGCCAAATCAACGTAACTCCAGGAGGGAAAGAAAAAATGGCCGGCCCCGTAGCAAAAATTTCCCGCTCTGCGTTACATACAATGGAGGATGAAAAATACGAGTCCAATAGCAACGTAGATCATTGTAGATGCGATGCACAGTTAGCGATTATAGCTTCATGGCTTTTCTGTAGAATGTTTTTCGTAGGCGGCTTTTCTGTAGTCTTACTCACATGCTCCTCTGCACAGAGGAAAACAAAAAGAAGGAAGCGTACCTAGGCTGCGTCGCAGGATCGAAAAAACTTTGACTATCGCGGAAATTAATTTGTTTCCGTACGAAATTGCAGCGTGTAGCGACGTGGAGGCTACGATGTTGCGCGTTTATAGCACTCGCGGTAGCGGTCACCGGTTTGGGAGCAGGCAGGAGGGAATATTTAAGGTGCAGTACAAAGTACAAGACGAGTTGAGAAAACCATAATCTTTTATTCTCACTCATTGCTACAGTTATTAGGAGAGAATTTAATCACTCTGTTTACTATCAGTTATCTTATTTATCAATATTAGGGTAATGTTCGACCAGATGGGAGTAACCCTTACTCAAGAGCGGTGCTACACTATAGCAAATGAGTCGCAATCACAAAGAATAGCAGGATATTTGTAAAAATATTTAATATATATTTTTAGCATTATGTAATGAAATGTAAAAAATAACGTTAAACAATATATGATTAAAATATTATATTTTGATCAAAGAGAATAATTAACCACTACTTTTGGTGTTGATAGTATCTGTATTAATTTTATTTGACATTCAGATCAATCATAATAATTTTATTTCATTTACAAATAAATATTTTTAGAAGCGTATACATCGTTTTTTTTTTAAAACTTATTCAGTTTGTTATGCTCCAAAAGATTATAACATAATAATGGATGGTGATACAGTACACGTAAGGCATTTGCCTATAGTTAACTTAAGTGCAGATTTAAAAGATAACCTGAGATCACCAAAGAATAAAATATCACCTGATGAACGGATAAGAAATAAAATCACGTCAGGCTACTTACAGAGGAATGCGTATATTTATAATAACATAAATGGACTGAAAGAACCACGAACCAATATGTTACAGGAATATTTAAGAATCAAACCTGCAAAAAGTGAAAGTAAGCAATTTAAAAATAGGTAAGCGAAAATAATGTTCAAGTCCTAAAGCTATAATAAAGTATGTTTTTTTAGAAAGGCAGATCAATAGGAAACATGTTCGAAAAAAATCAGTTGATATGAAAAGTTTGAAATGTAAATTATCTTCGTACAGTATCGGCAGAGGCAAAGCCCAAGAAAGTCTGCTGAAGCATTACTATGACGTATATAATGATGATCAACGTGTAGTTGCTAAAAAAACTTCCCAAAAATGTTCGTCATCGTCAATATTTTCTGGGGTGAAATGCACTAAAGCCGATTCATGCGACATATTTGGATTTGGAAAAATTAATCGAAGGCGACGTCATTTTGATTACAATATGAGTGTTATTTATAAATTTTTAGGAAAAGATACTCAAAACAAAAACTCGTCTCAAGAAATATTAAAATGTAAGCATTTTTTCATTTGAAGATGTATGTAAAGACAACTCTAAGAAGAAATCATCTTTAGTTAAATTCGAAAGTGAAGTTCCTACTCGGTACACTTTAATTAATTTTAGTCAATGCAGCAGTACATCAGATACTTATATGTTAAAACCAAAAGAAGTGAAAAAAACTGAAATGGAAATGAGAGATGATGATACATGTTCGTGTTCGAATTTTGATGAAAATAAATCTTTCTTAAAAAAGACTACTTGTATCCGAAGCATTGCCACACAACCGATGAAAATAAAAAGTAAAGAAAAAAAAGTGGCTACTTCAGATTTTCCGTCTCCCAGGCCGTGTTGGAAAACAACAGTTGTCAATAGGTGTTACCCTTCTAAATCAAAATTTCAACATTCTAAGCATTGTCTAGATGTTAAAAAATGTGCTTGTACTAAATCTAGAAAATGCATAAAAGTATCTATGGACCCATTAGCTTTTTTAAAATCTGCTATAAAACATTTTCTGTCTGTGGTTGCTGTAATTGTTTGGTTACCGTGTATTTTGATAATTGGCTTTTTCTGGCTAATTTCGTATCCGTTTCGCCCACAGCATCATTGGGAAATAACTAGTCGCAAAGATTTCAAAAATACATTTTATTTGCAGAAGCATAAAAACAAATATAAAAAATCTTTAACAACATGTAAAAGCAAATTGGAAGCAAAATCACCGAAACAGAAACGACTAGGATTAATTACTGGAAAGCCTGCTTCTAATAAGTATTTCAGTTTTCAAAATAGAAACATGTGTTGTGAGAATTCGACTAATAAGTCTCGCGGAAAGCAAATAGGCAGCCAAGCTAGGACTGGCGTTTTTCTTTTTAAACCAACTACAACAGCATTAGCACTTCCTAGTGGAGGTGGATTTAAACCCAGTAAGACTAGAAAAAGGCGAAAAAGTGTGAGGTTTGAAAAATGCAATTCAACTGAAGCAAAAGAAAATTATAAGGGATTCACTTGTCGAGGAGAAGAAGAAGCATGCTTAGAACTAAAAGATTTTCTTGAAAAGCCATTCGGTCTGGAAGTAGATGACTGCGAACAAGAGACTACTTCTTTTCAAAAATCCAAGAAACGGCAGTTAGCATGGCAAAAAAATATGAAGAGGCAACGCTCTAAGCAGAAACGAAGGAAAGTACAGGTTTGCATTCCAAAACTTATACCGAAGTTACTTCAAGCGACCCAAAGTGCAAATAAATTTTCTGATCAATATAATTTAAAACAACTTTCACCGTGTGGTAAATGTGATCAAAGGAATATTAAATCTTCTAAAGTAAATAAAAGATGTATGAAACTAATTGGTGGCGGCAACCCTGTTTGTTGTAGTATAGATTATCCCGCATCTAAAATGAAAACTGTACGCACCAAGAAAAATTCATCAACCAGCACTGATGGAAGTCGCAGGCTACGTTCTTCAAAAAAAAACGTTCAAGTATCGGTTAGTAAAACAACCTCAATTATAAAATTTATTCCATCACCACTTCCAAAGCCTGATGAGAATATTACAAAAAGTAGTCAACCAGAAAATCCGAAGAAGAGACAAACCAGTGAGCAACAACGAAGGAAAGTACAGGTTAGCATTCCAAAAATAATACCGAAGTTACTTAAAGCGACCCAAAGTGGAAATAAATTGCCTGATCAATATAATTTAAAACAACTTTCACCGAGCGGTAAATATGATGAAAAGAATATTAAATCTTCTAAAGTAAACAAAAGACATATGAAACTAATAGGCGGCCGTAGCCCTGTTTCTAGTAGTATAGATAGTCCTGCATCTGAAATTAAAACAGTACCCACCAAGAAAAATTCATCAACAAGTACTGGTGGCAGTCACAAGCAACGTTCTCCAAAAAAAAACGTACAAGTATCGGTTAGTAAAATAACCTCCATTATAAGATTTATTCCATTACCACCTCAAAAGCCTGATAAGATTAAAAGTAGTCAACCCGAAAATCTGAAGAAGAGGCGACGCTCCAAACAAAAAAGTAGGAAAGTTCAGGTTTGCATTCCAAAAGTTTTACCGAACTTACTTCAAGCGACCCAAAGTGGAAATAAATTGCGTGATCAATATAATTTAAAACAACTTTCACCGTGCGGTAAATTTGATAATAAGAATATTAAATCTTCTAAAGTAAACAAAAGACATATGAAACTAAAAGGCGCCCGTAGCCCTGTTTCTAGTAGTATAGATAGTCCTGCATCTGAAATTAAAACAGTACCTACCAAGAAAAATTCATCGACCAGCACTGGTGGCAGTCACAAGCAACGTTCTCCAAAAAAAAACGTACAAGCATCGGTTAGTAAAACAACTTCCATTATAAAATTTATTCCATCACCACCTCCAAAACCAGATGAGAATATAACAAAAAGTAGTCAACCAGAAGAACCAATAGTTCGGGCACACACTTCTGTTCTTAAATTTTTACCACCGCCAATTCATAGCACCCGTACTTCAGCTACGTTTGTGCCTAAGAAAGTTACTAAGCAGAAAAAAGTTCAACAAAAAGATCAACCTTTAAAAAAAACAGAGAGTGACAAAAAGAAACCAGCTTCTGTTATAAAAGTCCTTCCACCTCTTCAACACGAAGTGCATTCGACAAGTACTTCCACAAGCTCATTAATACCTCCTGAAGCAAACAGGCAAAGCTTCCAACGACGTAGACCTCGTACAGCATCTACCACTACCTTGGCCCGAAAAGTTCCCTCTATTGTGAAGTTCCGTCCTGTTCGTCACCCCAAGCGTCAAACTGCATCTAGTAATACCGATTTGCCAAAGGCTTCTTCCCTCTTGAAATTTCTCAAATTATTACGAAATAAGACTTCCACCAAAGCCACTGCTACTATTCCTCTCAAAATCCCTTCAATAATTAAGTTTATACCTGTAACTTGCTCCGATAAAGACAAGAAGCCGAAAAAACAACTCGATGAATCCGAACCTAAAGTTGAATCAATAACCGTTCCGGGTCCGTTAAAGACCACAACTGTTGTGAAATTTTTCCCTGCACCACAAGAAGTAAAACGAAGTTCGGCGACTAATACTAATGCACCAAAAACTCAACCGTTCACAAAATTTCTGTCCTCAATGCGACGTCAAACGAAAACTACGGGCACCGTAGCTAATTTAATGAGGTCTACGTCTATAATTAGGTTTATACCCCCACCACGACATCGTAAACGCACAGCATCGAGCAGTGCAAATATACCTTCACTGCGATCTACAGCTAGTATCACTCCTTCACGGAAAGATACTTCTGTTATAAAATTTGTCCCCCGGCCCCGCTTGAAGCTCTCCACAACAGGAAGCAATACAGATCAAAAGTACAATCTCAAAAATACCCAGGTTTACAAATTTCTTCCACCACCACGAAAATCAACACGAACCACGGCAAGCGACACTTCAATGGAGAGAAGGGAGAAAGAGAAAGAGCCTAAAGATAAAGATGAAAAAGTACTAAGCGTAACAAAAAAAGTAGGAACTGGTGGAGTAGCGAAAATAATAAAATTCTTTCCAGAACCACGTCCTAGCACTCGGACGTCAGCAGCGAATGCCCGACCAATTGGAGACACATGTCCTGAAAATGTCGTGAAAAAATCTACTTCCATTATTAAATATTATCCCCATCCTCGACCAAAAACTCGAACTTCAGGTACTAGTTCATTTATTTTCAAAAAGACCAAGACAACGACTGCATGTATACCCACTAGGGTTATTAAGTTTTTACCAAATCGAAACAAATCTTTGAGAAGTCGAAGCACTTCGCCTAAAATAGTTAAACAAAAAAAGAAAATTAAGCGTCCTAAAGAAAAAAAAGATTCCGCGGCTAAAAAGAAGGCAAAAAAAGATGCAGCTCTTAAAAAAAAGGAAGAGAAAAAGAAAAGGGATGCCGCCCTTAAAAAAAAGGAAGAGAAAGGAAAAAAGGATGCCGCCCTTAAAAAAAAGGAAGAAGAAAAAAAGGAAGCCGCTCTTAAAAAAAAAGGAGAGAAAGAAAAAAAGGAAGCTGCCGTTAAGAAAAAAGGAGAGAAGGAATCCGCTGTTAAGAAAATTGATAAAAAAGAATCGCAGGTGGTTAAAAAGAAAAAGATTAAAAGTGCAAAACCTGAAGACACGCCAAGTTCGAGCAAAATGACAAAGAAGGTACTGCCTGGCAAACAACCAATTGTGTGCCGTAGCAGTGGTACGCAGAAAGTAACTATGAAAGAAGCGAAAGCCAAAAGTCCATCAGATGCCAAAATTCGATTTGTGCGGAAATATTACGTGGAAAAAACACCAATCGGTGACAGCTTATACAAAAAGAAAGATAGCCAGAAAACTGATGGAAGCGCCGGCAAAATTCGTAGGTTTACTCGCTCTACTCGTGATTGTGCAACCGTTCCAAGGTGTATTAAGACACGATCTAAAAAGGTAATGTCGGGATTTACTCCCGTTATTAAAGTGTACCCGTCTATTCGTAAATGTATTTCTTGTGGCAATAATTTAAAAAGGCAAAGGAAAGTTAAAAAGTCAAAGCCTCAAAGAAATGAACTTACGGAAATGTATACAACGGATTCACCAAAGGGACCGGGGAAAACAAGAAAATCTCCAGACAAAACTTTCGCTCCAACAGTAATTAAAGGTACTCCTCCTAAGCGTATTCGAAAGCGTAACTTGAATATTGACTCCTCACGTTATGGTACCGACAGACGTTATATGAAATCTCAACTGCAATCACAAGCACCAATGATTCAACGAGCCAAATTAGTGGCGAAACCGCCAAAATACAAAAAAAATATATCTGGCACGAAAAAACGTCGCTTTGGCAAGTTACGAAAAATGTTTGCATATTTCTACGAGCCAGGCCAAGGTGTTACTTGCGAAGAAATGCTTAGTAAATCGCGTAAAAGGCCGTGTTACTGGATTTATGAGCGTTGGCCCTCTGCGTATCCTGCATTTTTAGCTTTATACAATATATACAATAACATGATTCATATTTTTTTTCTTTCTTTTTGCTGCGTGCGTTTGGTGTCCACTTTTTTGTTGGTGTTGTTTTTTTTCTATTTAATTGTGGTGCGCAAATTGTTATGTAGTTGAATTTTCAGAATATATTTAGTTATTTATTGTTTAATTGTTTCTTTGCATCACTGAAATAAATTTATAAAACACTAATAAGAAGTTATATACAAGCATAATGCTTATATTTAAATTTCCTTTCTGAAATCTGTTCGTTGTAAACGAAATTACAATTTAGACTTTATTAATATTCATAATGGAAATCGAATTTTTAATTTTATATGCCCATTGCTTTTCTCATTACAAATCCTTACTTCTTTACTATAATCCTTACTAATATTATAAACGCGAAAGTTTGTATGTATGGATGGATGTTTGTTACTCTTTCACGCGAATGGATTTTAATGAAACTATACAATAATATAGCTTATACATCAGAATAAGACGTAGACTATAATTTATATACATATTTTATGTATATCTGTTTTTCTGTCTGAATGTTACGCCTTCAGCCTATTGTATGCAGATGTAGTCGCAGGCAGCATCTAGTAAGTAAATTATGAAGAGGATGTGTTACACTCTTACCAACTATAACCAAAAGGGAATAAGAGTCGAGATAGCTCGGTGTCCGGGCCCTAGCTTTTAATTCAATATACTTGAGCATTCGGATTTCAAAAGAAATTGTTAATTGCAAGTTTAAGTGCTAACTTATCACGCCCCAAGTAGCATAAACTACTAGAGAACGTTTTAAAAAACTGTTTTTGGTCCTATAAAGGACCAAAGAAAAAGTATTTTATTCGGAAGTGGCGCATTTATAATTTGGTCCAGTGTTAAAACGATTAAAAAGCAGTGTCAAAATCACAAATCGGTCCTATAAAAGCCATGTATCGGGGATGCAGGACTCAAAATTATGACGTACTGACACTCATAGGACCTATTATAGTACTTTTTCATACTACTACCTGACCCGGCAAACGTTGATTTGCCATGTATATTATTTCTAGGAAACATTTTTTTAGTTCAATAAAAATAACTATCTACTATAATTGTCCGCGAATGTACTTATAATCGAAAGCGTTGTAAACAATGAAAGTATGATTTATTTAGGTTAATAAGTAATTAAAGGACATTGAAATTATAAACTCTAAATAAGAATTTATTGCACTACAATTATTATATTCAATTGCCATCTTGCAACCCTTGCGGATCTGTGGATAGAATGAAAAAAAAAAAAACGCGATGGGAAAATCGTATAAGGTGAAAATTAAAAGTGATGTGATTTTTTTATTGTGTCATGACAAAATAAACAAAAATTCTTGCCAAAAAAATTAAAGTTTATAATTAACAAATAAAAATAGAGGTTGATCGTAGAGGGGTGAAAATTTAGAGTTGTATGTATTTTTGTATGTTGTATCATAAAAAAATAAAAACATTTTTTTTACATAAAAAAAATAGGGGTTGGACCACCCTTAACATTTAGGGGGATGAAAAATAGATGTTGATAATCCACCCTGGCCGATATGCATGCTAAGATTCACGAAATTCGTTCGAGACGTTTCGGAGAAGTTCAATTGCAAATACCGTGACACGAGAATTTTATATATTAGATTTAAGAGTTTATGTTTGTGATTAGTCTATAGTATAGAATATCTTTATGTACAATATTAATTTATATAGTTTTATACGTAAGGGTGTTCGTATACTTAAAATTTTAATAACTCGTTAAATATTGATGTTTAAAGAATTTAAATGTTTAATACAACTTTAAAAAGTTATCCCCTATATGCGTGTTCATTTATTGTCGCGATGGTAACGACACGCTGTATATTGCTGCAAGCGCATTTAAATCCGTTCCGTAATTTAAACGATCTAAGCGTACAAAAGCGGGAGCGATTATTTTTTTATACTATGATTATATAGTAAAGAATAGGATGTTTGTAACAAACGCGTAAAATATTTAATATATATTTTTTGCATTATGTGATGAAATGTTACAAATAAAGTTAAAAAAAATATTTCATTAAACTATTATGTGTTGATCAAAGAGAATAATTAACTACTACGTTTTGGTGTTGATAGAATCTGTATCAATTTTATTTGACATTATCAGATTAATTTTATTTCATTTACAAATAAATATTTTTAGAAGCGTATACATCGTTTTTTTAAACTAATAAAATTTTTTAAACTAATAATAATGGATGTTGATACAGTAAACGTACGGCATTTATCTATGGTTAACTTAAGTGCGGATTTAAAAGATAACCTGAGATCACCAAAGAATAAAATATCACCTGATGAAAGGGTAAGAAATAAAATCAAGTCAGGCAACTTTCAGAGAAACACATATGTTCATAACAACATAAATGAACTGAAAGAAGCTCCAAGTCCTGTAACATTTTTAAGAATCAAACCTGCAAAGAGTGAAAGTAAGTAATTTAAAATTAGGTAAGCGAAAATAATGTTCAAGTCCTAAAGCTATAATAAAGTATGTTCTTTTAGAAAGGCAGATCAATAAGAAACATGTCCGAAAAAAATCAGTTGATATGAAAAGCTTGAAATATAAAATATCTTCGTACAGTATCGGCAGAGCCAAAACTCAAGAAAGTCTGCTGAAGCATTACTATGACGTATATAATGATGATCTACGTGTAGTTGCTAAAAAAACTTCCCAAAAATGTTCGTCATCGTCAATATTTTCTGGGGTGAAATGCACTAAAGCCGATTCATGCGACATATTTGGATTTGGAAAAATTAATCGAAGGCGACGTCATTTTGATTACAATATGAGTGTTATTTATAAATTTTTAGGAAAAGATACTCAAAACAAAAACTCGTCTCAAGAAATATTAAAATGTAAGCATTATTCATTTGAAGATGTATGTAAAGACAACTCTAAGAAGAAATCATCTTTAGTTAAATTCGAAAGTGAAGTTCCTACTCGGTACACTTTAATTAATTTTAGTCAATGCAGCAGTACATCAGATACTTATATGTTAAAACCAAAAGAAGTGAAAAAAACTGAAATGGAAATGAGAGATGATGATACATGTTCGTGTTCGAATTTTGATGAAAATAAATCTTTCTTAAAAAAGACTACTTGTATCCGAAGCATTGCCACACAACCGATGAAAATAAAAAGTAAAGAAAAAAAAGTGGCTACTTCAGATTTTCCGTCTCCCAGGCCGTGTTGGCAAGCAACAGTTGTCAATAGGTATCAACCTTCTAAATCAAAATTTCAACATTCTAATTATTGTTTAGATGTTAAAAAATGTGCTTTTACTAAATCTAGAAAGTGCATAAAAATATCTATGGACCCATTAGCTTTTTTAAAATCTGCTATAAAACATTTTCTTTCTGTGGTTGCTATAATTGTTTGGTTACCGTGCATTTTGATAATTGGCTTTTTCTGGCTAATTTCGTATCCGTTTCGCCCACAGCATCGTTGGGAAATAAGGAGTTTCAAAGATTTCAAAAAAACATTTTATTTGCAGAAGCATAAAAATAAAAATTCTTTAAAAACATGTAAAAGCAAATTTCAAGCAAAATCGCCGAAACAAAAACGACTAGGATTAATTACTGGAAAGCCTGCTTCTAATATGTCTTTAAGTTTTCAAAATAGAAACATGAGTTGTATGAATCCAACTAAAAAGACTCGCGGAAAACAAATAGGCGATCCAATTATGACTGGCGTTTTTCTTTTTAAACCCACTACAACTGCATTAGCACTTCCTAGTGGAGATGGATTTAAACCCAGTAAGACTAGAAAAAGGCGAAAAAGTGTGAGGTTTGAAAAATGCAATTCAACTGAAGCAAAAGAAAATTATAAGGGATTCACTTGTCGAGGAGAAGAAGAAGCATGCTTAGAACTAAAAGATTTTCTTGAAAAGCCATTCGGTCTGGAAGTAGATGACTGCGAACAAGAGACTACTTCTTTTCAAAAATCCAAGAAACGGCAGTTAGCATGGCAAAAAAATATGAAGAGGCAACGCTCTAAGCAGAAACGAAGGAAAGTACAGGTACAGGTTTGCATTCCAAAACTTATACCGAAGTTACTTCAAGCGACCCAAAGTGCAAATAAATTTTCTGATCAATATAATTTAAAACAACTTTCACCGTGTGGTAAATGTGATCAAAGGAATATTAAATCTTCTAAAGTAAATAAAAGATGTATGAAACTAATTGGTGGCGGCAACCCTGTTTGTTGTAGTATAGATTATCCCGCACCTAAAATGAAAACTGTACGCACCAAGAAAAATTCATCAACCAGCACTGATGGAAGTCGCAAGCAACGTTCTTCAAAAAAAAAAGTACAAGTGTCGGTTAGTAAAACAACCTCAATTATAAAATTTATTCCATCACCACCTCCAAAGCCTGATGAGAATATTACAAAAAGTAGTCAACCAGAAAATCCGAAGAAGAGGCAAAGCAGTAAGCAACAACGAAGGAAATTACAGGTTAGCATTCCAAAAATTATACCGAAGTTACTTCAAGCGACCCATAGTGGAAATAAATTGTCTGATCAATATAATTTAAAACAACTTTCACCGAGCGGTAAATATGATGAAAAGAATATTAAATCTTCTAAAGTAAACAAAAGATATGTGAAACTAATAGGCGGCCGTAGCCCTGTTTCTAGTGGTATAGAAAGTCCTACATCTGAAATTAAAAAAGTACCCAGCAAGAAAAATTCATCAACAAGTACTGGTGGCAGCCGCAAACAACGTTCTTCAAAAAAAAACGTACAAGTATCGGTTAGTAAAACAACCTCCATTATAAGATTTATTTCATCACCACCTCCAAAGCCTGATGAGAAAATTACAAAAAGTAGTCGACATGAAAATCTGAAGAAGAGGCAACGCTCCAAGCAGAAAGGCAGAAAAGTTCAGGTTTGCATTCCAAAAGTCTTACCGAACTTACTTCAAGCGACCCAAAGTGAAAATAAATTGCGTGATCAATATAATTTAAAACAACTTTCACCGTGCGGTAAATATGATAAAAAAAATAATAAATCTTCTAAAGTAAACAAAAGACATATGAAACTAATAGGCGGCCATAGCCCTGTTTCTAGCAGTATGGATAGTCCTGCATCTGAAATTAAAACAGTACCCAGCAAGAAAAATTCATCAACCAGCACTGGTGGCAGCCACAATCAACGTTCTTCAAAAAAAAACGTACAAGTATCGGTTAGTAAATCAACCTCCATTATAAGATTTATTCCATCACCACCTCCAAAGCCAGATGAGAATATAAGAAAAAGTAGTCAACCAGAAGAACCAATAGTTCGGGCACACACTTCTGTTCTTAAATTTTTACCACCGCCAATACATTGCACCCGTACTTCAGCTACGTCTGTGCCGAAGAAAGATACTAAGCAGAAAAAAGTTCAACAAAAAGATCAACCTTTAAAAAAAAAAGAGAGTGACAAAAGGAAACCAACTTCTGTTATAAAAGTCCTTCCACCATTTCAACACAAAGTACATTCGACAAGTACTTCCACAAGCTCATTTGTACCTCCTAACGCAAATGTCCAACGACGTAGACCTCGTACGGCATCTACCGGTACCTTGGCCCGAAAAGTTCCCTCTATTGTGAAGTTCCGTTCCGTACGTCACCCCAAGCGTCAAACTGCATCTAGTAATACCGATTTTGCAAAGACATCTTCCCTCTTGAAATTTCTCAAATTATTAAGAAGTAAGACTTCCACCAAAGCCACCACTACTGTTCCTCTCAAAATCCCTTCAATAATTAAGTTTATGCCTGTTACTTGCCCCGATAAAGACAAGGAACCGAAAAAAGAACTAGATGAACCTGAATCTAAAGTTGAATCAATAACCGTTCCGGGTCCGTTAAAGACCACAACTGTTTTAAAATTTTTCCCCGCACCACAAGAAGTAAAACGAACTTCGGCAACTAATACTACTGCATCAAAGATTCAACCATTCACAAAATTTCTGTCCTCAATGCGACGTCAAACGAAAACTACGGGTACCGTAGCTAATTTAATGAGGTCTACGTCTGTAATTAGGTTTATACCCCCACCACGACTTCGTAAACGTACAGCAGCTAGCAACGTATGTTTTAAAAGACCTCCACGGCGATCAACAGCTAGTATCACTCCTTCACGGAAACATACTTCGATAATAAAATTTGTCCCCCGGCCCCGATTGATGCTCTCTACAACAGGTATCAATACAGATAATCTCAAAAATACCCAAGTTTACAAATTTCTTCCAACGCCCCTAAAATCAACACGAACCACGGCAAGCAACACTTCTATGGAGAGAAGAGAAAAAGAGCCTAAAGACAAAGATAAAAAAGTACAAAGGGTAACAAAAAGAGTAGGAACTGGTGGAGTAACGAAAATAATAAAATTCTTTCCAGAACCACGTCCTAGCACTCATACGTCAGCAACGAAAGCCCGACCAATTGGAGACACATGTCCGGAAAATGTCGTGAAGAAATCTACTTCCATTATTAAATATTATCCCCATCCTCGACCGAAAACACGAACTTCAGGTACTACTTCATTTATTTTCAAAAAGACCAAGACAACGACTGCATGTATACCCACAAGAGTTATTAAGTTTTTACCATATCGTAACAAATCTTTGAGAAGTCGAAGCACTTCGCCTAAAATAGTTAAACAAAAAAAGAAAATTAAGCGTCCTAAAGAAAAAAAAGATTCTGCGGCTAAAAAGAATGCAAAAAAAGATGCAGCTCTTAAAAAAAAGGAAGAGAAAAAGAAAAGGGATGCCGCCCTTAAAAAAAAGGAAGAGAAAGGAAAAAAGGATGCCGCCCTTAAAAAAAAGGAAGAAGAAAAAAAGGAAGCCGCTCTTAAAAAAAAAGGAGAGAAAGAAAAAAAGGAAGCTGCCGTTAAGAAAAAAGGAGAGAAGGAATCCGCTGTTAAGAAAATTGATAAAAAAGAATCGCAGGTGGTTAAAAAGAAAAAGATTAAAAGTGCAAAACCTGAAGACACGCCTAGTTCGAGCAAAATGAAAAAGAAGGAACTGCCTGGCAAACAAGCAATTGTGTGCCGTAGCAGTGGTACGCAGAAAGTAACTATGAAAGAAGCGAAAGCCAAAAGTCCATCAGATGCCAAAATTCGATTTGTGCGGAAGTATTACGTGGAAAAAACACCAATCGGTGACAGCTTATACAAAAAGAAAGATAGCCAGAAAACGGATGGAAGCGTCGGCAAAATTCGTAGGTTTACTCGCTTTACTCGTGATTGTTCAACCGTTCCAAGGTGTATTAAGACACGATCTAAAAAGGTAATGTCGGGATTTACTCCCGTTATTAAAGTGTACCCGTCTATTCGTAAATGTATTTCTTGTGGCAATAATTTAAAAAGGCAAAGGAAAGTTAAAAAGTTAAAGCCTCAAAGAAATGAACTTACGGAAATGTATACAACGGATTCACCAAAGGGACCGGGGAAAACAAGAAAATCTCCAGACAAAACTTTCGCTCCAACAGTAATTAAAGGTACTCACCCTAAGCGTATTCGAAAGCGTAACTTGAATATTGACTCCTCACGTTATGGTACCGACAGACGTTATATGAAATCTCAACTGCAATCACAAGCACCAATGATTCAACGAGCCAAATTAGTGGCGAAACCGCCAAAATACAAAAAAAATGTATCTGGCACGAAAAAACGTCGCTTTGGCAAGTTACGAAAAATGTTTGCATATTTCTACGAGCCAGGCCAAGGTGTTACTTGCGAAGAAATGCTTAGTAAATCGCGTAAAAGGCCGTGTTACTGGATTTATGAGCGTTGGCCCTCTGCGTATCCTGCATTTTTAGCTTTATACAATATATACAATAACATGATTCATATTTTTTTCTTTCTTTTTGCTGCGTGCGTTTGGTGTCCACTTTTTTGTTGGTGTTGTTTTTTCTATTTAATTGTGGTGCGTAAATTGTTATGTAGTTGAATTTTCAGAATATATTTAGTTATTTATTGTTTAATTGTTTCTTTGCATCACTGAAATAAATTTATAAAACACTAGTAAGAAGTTACATACAAGCATAATGCTTATATTTAAATTTCCTTTCTGAAATCTGTTCCTTGTAAACGAAATTACAATTTAGACTTTATTAATTTCATAATCGAAATCGCGGTTTAAAATTACATACCCATTGCTTTTCTCATTACAAATTAGTTAATTATGAAGAGGATGTGTTACACTGTTACCAGCCATAACCAATACGGAATAAGAGCCGTGATAGCTCAGTGTCCGGGCGCTCACCGTTAATCTTATCCTTTAAACGAGCATTTCTTGTATATAATATATAATCGGAATCTCGGAAACGACTCCAGCGATTTTCATGAAATTTAGTATGTGTCTACGCACATTCGGGGGAGAAAAATCGATCTAGCTAGGTTCCATTTTTAAAAATGTCCTTTTATCCTTGTTTTCAGGGATGAAAAATATCATTACGAATATGACGGTAAATTTCGAAGCAAAAAAATGTTCTATTAGCTCGGTCGGTAATCGGGAGGCCCCAAAACAGACGGCCGTGGTTCCTATCACGATCATTTAATACTTTTTGTGTACTTTTTTTTAATACTTTTTGTGTACTCTTTTTCTATACCAGATCATTGCTGTCTTTATTTTTTTTATTTCCAAAATACATCATTTACCAAAAAAAAACCGGTTGGTCCCCGGTGCCAGCACCACTAAAATATTTAATTTTAAGTCGCATTATCACCGTCGGCGGTGAAGGAAAACATCGAGAGGAAACCTGCATATTTTCGAAATAATAATTAAAATAAATATTTCGAAAATATGTGAAGTCCGCCAATCCGCAGTGGGGTCACGGCCGTAGCTAGGGAGGGGGGCATTGTAGGGCAATGCCCTACCTTAAAATCACAATGCCCTACCTTAAAAATACCAAAATAAAAATGCGTAAATATGACCACGTTTTTCAATTTCGTACACGTCTCAAGTGATTTCCCATCCTACTTCGCCGGAATTTATATATTCTTTCTATGTTGTACCTACTGTGTTTCTATTTCATGTTTCTACTCCACTTTATTTAAAGGAGAAATTTGAATTTGTAGGGCTTCTAGGGGAAGATCCTACCTTCTTCGAGGAAGCTCATTTTAAAGGTGCCAAACCACAAAACGTAATTTTTTGAAAAATCTTTTACCGTACAGGCTGTTAAACTCTACTACTGCATTATATACTATACTATTGCACAACCTACATAGTAAAGTTCCTTTACGCCATTGGTTGCCTGGAAGAGATCGCTATGAAGAGTGATACGGCCGCCAAATTGTGAATTCCATTAATTTGTTTGTCTATTGTTAATTTTGTGTATCCTCTTTTGTGTGGTGGACAATAAAGTATTCATTCATTTATTCATTCAAAAACTAAGACACATTATTGTAATAAAAATTGTAGCGATAGGTATCTCAACTTTTCCGAACATACCACAGTTTGTCAAAATCAAAATAATTTATTTATGGACTTAGGAAACATACATTTCATCTATCGATAGTATTTTTTTTAATCTACCACCGTTTCATCATGAGGTTCCTCTAACGGAGAAGAAACAGGCGAAAGAAACTCCGCAGGTATCCTGTTATTCGTAATTTTATTCTTAAAAAATTAAAATATTATACAACTGTTCGTTTTTCTTTCTTTTAGAAATAGCTTGGATCGACTCATTACCAGTGTGAGACATTCATTTCATATTCTAATAATTCTTTGTTCTGTGTACTCGTATAAAAAAAGTACCTGGAGGACCGAGCTTTGCTCGTTTTTTTTTTGGTAAATAATGTATTTTGGAAATAAAAAAGATAAAGAAAGCAATGCTGATCATTGAATAGAATAGTATAGAAAAAAAAAGTTAAAAAAATGAGTGTGTGATCGTGATACGAACCGCGGCCGTCTGTTTTAGGGCCGCCCGATTACCGACCGAGCTATTATAAAATTTTTTTTTGCGGCGAAATTTACCGTAATATTCGAATGATATTTTGCATTCCCTGAAAACAGGGATAAAAGGACATTTTCTAAAAATGAAACAGCTAGATTGATGCTTCGCTGGAGCCGTTTGCGAGATTCCGATTATATATATATATATATATACAAGAATTGCTCGTTTAAAGGATAAAATAATAATAAAATAGGCATTTCAATGATGATGATCTAATCAATTCGATTGCAAGTCTCGATGAGTTGGATGTAGATAAAATGCTTCCACTGAAAAGTTTGGGTAAGTTTAAAAAAATTAATAATTCAAGTAGGCTAGTGGTTAAAGTTTACTTGAGTCGTAACGAGGACAAAATGGAAAATACATTGCAAGTGTTGTACAGGCAACGAGAGGCGTTTAAAGATACATATGAACTTTTTGGCATCTGTGGCGACCATAGGATGTAGCACTGCAGTGTGCGAATCTACGTTTTCAACTTTAACTGCAATCAATAGGCCTCAAAGGCTGTCAATGGGTCACGAGAGAATGGCTGGTATGGTATTACTGGCCTTTGGAAAAAAAAGGACAAAATTAGTTGATCTGAACGAAGTTCTTCGCATTTTTAATAACATGGCGAATCGAAGAATTAAGCTGTTTTAAATATTTTTATTATTATGTTAATTATTATAATAGGTCTGCAGAAACAATTTGATATAAGTGGTATTTTTGGTCGTATCATCTCATCCAAAAATTAATTATTACCTCACTCTCACTCAGACGTGGATCTCTACATACAAAGCTGGAAGTTCAACCATCTTGTTCGCTTATTCTTCATCATAAAGGATTTAATAATGCTTATATCCATGCTCATGTTCTGTCACAGAAATTATTTTCTACGAATAGCTATTGAACTGACCTAGAGGTCAGTAATATACATGATGATTGATTTAGGAGCTCATGCTAGTTGGGGCAAATATCCCTTTATGGCCAACCGCTCTCCTGGGAGAACGCTAAAAGTAAAATGCCCTTAGTATGATCTATTATGTCCTACGCATGCATGACCTTCGCCCACCCTACTCGCTTGTACAAGTTGCAAATAGTACAAAACAAGTTCATCCGCCGCGCAACCGGTGCGCAGTGTTATCAACGCAACGTCGACCTGCACAACGATTGCAGACTCCCGACGATTCGCGAATATTTTAAAGACCTGACCAAACGGACCTGACCAACGAACATCATCTCAACCCTCTGGTGGTAAGCGCAGCAAATTACCAACCCGACACAAACGCGAACGTCAACAAGCGTCGCCCGCGAAACGTCCTCATCGACCTGAGCGACAAAGAGGACTTAGAAACGATGGACCCACCGCCGGGGGTCCCGCCGGATAACACTACACCCACAGTTAGTGCAACAACAAACTAGTTCGCCCTCGCCTCCGAGCACAGCGAGACCAACACAAAGCGTACACAAGGTACACCCGCGTTCCGGGGCGGTTCTCACCGCCCCCAGCCACCGATTAGCTAATTGAACAGTCGACGGCCATCGGGGTCTCGGTCCTAACTGCGACCTCGATGGCCCTTAGATGACACACCATAGTTAAACGCACGCATGAACAAATGCGTGGCCCTACCCACAGCGGAGGGCCCAAACCCGTGGGTTCTGGCTAGCCCACCGGTTCTACGTCAGATGAAGCTTTAATAGTCTCGGGACTGAAAGCAAAAACATCAGTTAATACAAGATACAAGAAGGAGCTCATGCTTCGAGGGCAAATCAATTATGATAAATTTAATTTAATTGTTTACTTCCGACTAATTTAATTGTTCAGGTAGGGCACCTGTAATCAATCCTGCCCTACCTCAAATTCAACTCTAGCTACAGACCTGAGTGGGGTCGCGTGGTGGACTATGCCCTGATACCCTCTTTACAGACGAGGCCTTTGCCCAACAGTGGGACATTTATAGGCTGTTACTTTACGTTTTAGTATGGTGAAAATGATCTGCAACCAAAGTTTTACTGATATCAGGCATAGGTTCAGCATGAATTATAAGTGCCTCAAATTATTGGGGCTTTATACGTCTCCATTTGTGGAGCCAATCACCGAGGCTGTCGGCAGCGCTTTGGAGCCGAGTAAGTTGGTTGTTGGTTGTTGGTTGTTGGTTGTTTGAGTAAGTTGGTTGAGACTATCTGTGTGTAAAAGAGCGCCGTGTCATCCGCGTAAAGCGCGGGATTGACGTGGGAGTCTTTCGGTATGTCGCTCGTGTAGAGCGTAAAAAGTTTGGGAGCCGGCAGGAGGGAATAATTAAGATGCAGTACAAAGAACAAGCCGTGTTGAGAAAACCATAATCTTTTATTGTCACTCGTTGCTATAGTAATTTGTCAATATTAGGGTAATGCTAGACCGATGAGAGTAAGGGTGTAAAGGATAAGAGCGGTGCTACACAGTAGCAAATGAGTCGCCACATCACCCCCCTACGGAGAAAAATAAGTACACATTGAAGGCAAAACAAGTATAAAATGTAACAATCAAATAATTATACACTGTTATTATAAAAGTACAAGCAACATTATTTAGGATAATTTTTAACTAATGGAATTTTAATTTATACAATGAAAAAATAAACATTGGAAACTTAAAATTGAAAAAACTCTGCTTTAACAAAAGTAACGTATTTAAAACTAGTACTTATAAATTAAAATATGTAGAAAAAGTGCGAAAAGATTGTCGCCGCTGTGGGAATCGAACCCACAGCGGCGACAATCTTTTCGCACTTTTTCTACATATTTTAATGTACAATCTTAAGTGCAAAGATTAGCACTATAAACAATTTAAATTTCTAGTACTTATAAATCTAAAATATCTTTAAATTTAACTTTGCGACCTGACCGGGTTGTTACAGGCTGTGCGGGCGTTTTAATGGGCACGGCCGTTTGGCTAATAGGAGGTGAAAGAGTCGGAAGGACTGGGGGCTCCGGTGCCAAGTTGTTAGGGGACGGATTGCCGTCTGGGTCAGGTGCAATATACGCAGGTTTTGTTCTGTCGATGCTAACCTCAGATCTTCGGCCAGAAATGTCTACGGTAAGTGTCTTGTTCAGATCTCTTCAACACTCTGTAGGGGCCTGTATAAGGTGGCTGTAGAGGGCGTCGAACGGAATCTTCGCGGAGGAACACGTGAGTAGCATCAGGTAAGTCCTTGAAAATGAAAGTTTTAGAATTCGTGTGACGTGATGCTGGAACGGGGCGAAGTTCTGCCATCCGTTTTCGCAACTGTGCAACAAAATCATCGTCCATGGTCTGAGGGGAATTGCTAGCCACCAGGAACTCGCCTGGTAGGCGTAGCGGTTCCCCATACAAAACTTCTGCAGCGTACCAAGAACTCTTGTGACACATTAAAGCGGCCTTTAAATGGCGGTGGAAACGCTCTATCATCTCATTAGCTTGGGGATGATAGCTCGTAGTACGAACGCGTTTTGTGGCTCCTAAATCCATCAGTCTGTTGAAAAGTTGGGACTCAAATTGACGTCCCTGGTCCGTTGTGACAGTGATTGGTACACCAAAGCGAGCGATCCAGCCATGGGTGAATTGATCAGCGACTTCTACTGCGGTTATCGACGACATGGGCCAAACTTCGGGCCAGCGTGAGAAACGGTCTACTGCTGTTAGGCAATAAGTGAATCCGTTTGAAGAAGGCATCGGTCCAATAATGTCCAGGTGAACATGACGGAATCTGCCTGAAGGTGTGCTAATGTTGCCAAGCGGTGAAACGACATGGCGCGTTACCTTGCTGCTCTGGCAGGCGAGACACTCGCGTGCCCAGGAGCGGCAGTCTTTAGCAATGCCTGGTCAAACATAGCGGTCGCTAATGAGGCGCGCGGAAGCGCGTGCGCCAGGGTGGCTGAGACCATGTAGGCGATCGAAGACGGCTCGCCGATATTGTTTTGGCAAAAAGGGTCTAGGTTTGCCTGTTGACACATCACACAAAACGGAAATGTTGGATCCAGGTATGAGGGTTGGCTCTAACTGTAAAGAAGAATGGACCTTTACGGTTTTAAGTTCGTCGTCCGTCTGCTGAGATTTTGCCAGGGCTGCGAAATCGTCATCGAGCGTGATAGCCTCAATGCGGGACATTGTGTCAGCAACGATGTTGTCTTCCCCCTTCACATGTTTGATATCAGTTGTAAACTGGGAAATAAACGTGAGTTGGTTAAGTTGAGCAGGGGGCAATTTTTCACGGCGTTGGACGAAAGCATAAAGAAGCGGCTTGTGGTCCGTGTAGATTGTCGCGTGTTGTGCCTCTAGTATATGCCGGAAATGCTGTACGGCCGCGTACACTGCGAGAAGTTCGCGGTAATACGCGGGCCATGTACTTTGGCTCTGTGTTAGCTTTTTGCTAAAGAATGCCAACGGCTGCCAGCCTTGATCAGACCTTTGCTGTAAGGCAGCGCCGACATGAGTGCTGGAGGCGTCCGTGTACAACCCTAAACGAGCATTTCGTTGCGGATGTACAAGCATGGTGGCCTCTGAGAGACTGTCGCGACACTCGTAGAAAGCACGCTCCAAGTCTGCTGTCCAGGGCATAGCTTTTGAACCTTTTAGGTTGCTGACTGTTAAAAAATCCACAAGTGGAGCTTGCAGCTTGGCGGCTTTGGGAAGAAATTGGCGGTAATAATTTACCATCCCCAGGAACCATCTCAAACCTTGAGCTGTTTTGGGAAGCGATAACTCGCGGAGAGCAGCGATCTTCTCTTCAGGTGGGCAGATACCATCCTTGGTTATCTTATAACCTAGGAAGATTACCTCACATGCCCCCAATACGCACTTATCCACATTGACAACGACGCCATAGTCCACCAGTCTTTGCAGGATTGTGCGCAGGTGTTTGGCGTGCTCTTCAGCATCCCGTGAGAATACCAAAATATCGTCAATGTAGGGAAAAGCGAAGTCTAGTCCGCGCAAGATCTCATCGATGAAACGCTGGAAGGTTTGGCCAGCGTTGCGTAACCCAAATGACATATAGGGAAACTCGAAAAGACCAAATGGCGTTATTATGGCCGTTTTGCAAACATCTGGACCAGCTACCGGAATCTGCTGGTAGGCCTTTACTAGATCTAATGTGCTAAATATAGTAGAACCAGCCAGATTATGACTGAAGTCTCCTATATGACGCACAGGGTACCGATCGGGAACTGTCCGAGCGTTTAAGAGCCTGTAGTCACCGCAAGGACGCCACATGCCATCCTTTTTGGGTGCTAAATGCAGTGGTGACGACCAGGGGCTTTTAGATGGGCGAGCAGTACCCGCCGACACCATGTCATTAAATTCCTTCTCAGCAATTTTTAGCTTGTTGGGTGCTAGTCGACGAGGACGCGACGTGACAGGCGGCCCACTAGTTGTCGTTATATAGTGAACAGTGCTATGTTTTATTTGACGGTCAGCTGTAGGTGGGCGCGTCACTTCCGGAAAGTCTAAAAAGAGTTGATTGAACAGGGAATCGCGAGACGGTTTTTTTACGGTCCTAATACTTGGCTGCATTATATTGCGGTTACAACAATATGCGGATAAGTTTGTAAGCTCATCGCGCAGTGTGCCGCTACGGCAGTCGGGTAGGAGGTGGAAGAAAGCTAGGAAATCCGAACCGATAATTGGGACATCCACGTCAGCACAAATAAACTCCCAGCGAAATTCACGGCGCAGTCCTAAATTGAGGTTCAGATTAACTGTGCCGTAAGTTTTAATGGAGCTGCCATTTGCCGCATTGAGAGTAAGTCCTGTAATTGAGAAACGTCCTTTTATAAGTTTTCGTGGAAAACAACAAATGTCCGAACCAGTATCTATCAAAAAATTAATTTTGGTATTTTGATCGGTAATAAAAAGGCGTTTGCTGGACTGTGCGCGGTCGGTAGCTCCTTCAATGGTCCAGCTGCATCCTGGTATGCATTTGCTTGCTTTGTTGCCGAAACGATCGTGGTACCCGCAAAGCTTCTGATTACGTGGGCGTGAGCGCGATCGAGAGCGGCTCCGCTTTTGATTAACGCGTGAGCTCCCAGATCGTTCATGGGTGTTTGTTCTGAGCGCTGAGACTGTTCGCGTCAATTCCTCGATCTGCCGCTGCATTGACGCGAGAGTGGGCTCAAAGGTATGATGCGCCGAAACCTGGCTCACGGTGGTAGGCCTCTCGGTCAACTCCACCAACTGGTCGGCCATCTCCGCCAACTCCGTCAAGTCCTGGATCTTCTGTGCGGCCAACACAATTTGAACCTGCCGGGGAAGCCGATTGGCCCAAATTGATCGCAGCAAGTCAGCGGGGAACGACTCTTCGGGGAACGCCAGACTCTTCAAGTGTCGCATGAACGAGGATGGCTTGCGGTCACCTAACTGTTCCTTTTCTAGTAAGCGCCGCACCTTCTCCTCGAAGGAATCGGAGAATCTAGATATGATTGCGCTTTTTAAAGTTGTGTATGGTTGCAACTCGGGAGGATGTGTGATAATATCTTCGACCTCCTTCGTACACTCGGTATCTAAATGCGCCACGGCGAAATGAAACTTCGTCATTTCGACGGTAATTTGGTTAATGTGGAACTGCGCCTCTAGGCTAGCAAACCACAATGCGGGCCGATCCTTGCTAAAAGGCGGGGTCCTAATTGCGACCCTGTTTACGTAAATGGGACTGCCACCGACTAGTGCAGTAGCATCACCCTCGTTGCCAACGTGGCCCTCTGAAACGTTAGATTCTCCTTGACTCGCCATGGTTTAAAGGTAAAATCAGAAACGGTCAAATCTCAAAAACGCTTTACACATACACGCAGTGGAACAAATCGGTAAATACACAAACGAAACAATTTCAGTATTGCGCAGCAAACGTAATAATAAAATTGTTAGAAAAGTAAAGTAAGTCTAAATACAACATAAAATGATACTATCTTAAGTGTAAAATAGCACTAAACTTTCACTTGAACGAGTGTAAACGCAGCATCCGTCGCGAAGTATCAGTGGAGAGCTGTTAGTCACCTGACACAATGTTGCGGGTGATTGCCGCGCGTGGCGCGCTTTACAACTTTCTCCTCGTCAAAGATGACGTAGCTCCGGTAGAGAAAGAAAAATGGCCGGCCTCGATGTGAAAAATGCCGGCTCAGCGCTACATAGAATGGACAAAATACGAGTCCAATAGCGATGTAGATTATCGTAGATGCGTTTACAGTTGTTGCGATTATAGCTTCATGGCTGTTCTGTACAATCTCCCTCGCAGGCTATACCATAGTCTCACTCGCAGGTGGCTTTTCTAGTCTCCCTAGACTTCTCTGCACGGAGGGAAAAACAAAAAGAAGGAAGCGTACCTAGGCGGCGTCGCAGAATGGAACAAACCTCGATTATCGCGGAAATTGTTGTTTCCGAGCGAAACTGCAGAGCGTAGCGACGTGGGCTCCGATGTTGCGCATATTTATCATATCACGTCGGGGTCACCAGTTTGGGAGCCGGCAGGAGGGAATAATTAAGTACAAAGAACAAGCCGTGTTGAGAAAACCATAATCTTTTATTGTCACTCGTTGCTATAGTAATTTGTCAATATTAGGGTAATGCTAGACCGATGAGAGTAAGGGTGTAAAGGATAAGAGCGGTGCTACACAGTAGCAAATGAGTCGCCACAAAAGCAAGGGGGAGAGTCAGAAGCTTTGAGATACACCGTGAAAGGGCGGCTTGTAGAGAGCCTCGTCGAAAGCTTTTGCAACATCTAATTACCCCCGTGCTTAAATGTTTGGGGTGATTTGCCTTTCAGAATATGTTCTGTTAGGCGGTGTAATTGATCGGGTCAGGGTCACTCTAAAGCTGAACTGTTCAACAGGCATAAGGCCGTTTGAAAATACGTACCCTTTGAGCTTATTTAATAAGAGCCGGTTTACGATAGTAGGACCATGCAGCAGCCTCGGCTGTTGCACGAATGGGCAGGCTCGTCCGGGTAATTACCACGAACTCATAGAAGACCGGTGTAAAGTGAAAGTATATACTTTCGCGTTTCGTCTGGTGAGTGAGGTAGCCGGAGCCCAATTTTCAAAAGGTTGTCAACACATCTGCAACCCTCGGGTGTAGCAGATATCCTTGGGCGGCGGTATTCACTTAACATCAGGTGAACCGTCTGAAGAGCCGCTCATAGAGCTTTCCCAATCAATTGAGGAGGCTGATGAGTACAGACGTGATATGTGTGTGTGCGTGCGTGCGTGCGTGCGTGCGTGCGTGCGTGCGTGCGTGTGTGTGTGTGTGTGTGTGTGTGTGTGTGTGTGTGTGTGTGTGTGTGTGTTTGTGCGTGCGTGCGTGCGTGCGGGCGTGCGTGCGTGCGTGCGTGCGTGCGTGCGTGCGTGCGTGCGTGCGTGCGCGCGTGCGTGTGTGTGTGTGTGTGTGTGTGTGTGAGTGTGTGTGTAAGCGCTGCCTGCGCTGACTGCGCCACCGAGGCTTTCAGTCTGTTAAGATGTTGTACGTAACACAATGTGGCACTTTATTTCCTAATGTCATTTTAGTTTATTAATGTCAATGTATATTCCAGTATTCAACAAACTATAGTGATTGAGTGTGAAAGTTTATTTGTTTTTAGCTAATGTTATCTATGGTCTTAGAGTTAACGTCAATGTCAGATAGGTAAGGGCAAGTAAAAAAATTATCGATATTTATCGTATCCACATTTTGAAAAAGTAGTCGATATATCGTCTCTTTTACATGATTTTTCAAAACATTCAAAATTCTTAAAAAAAAATAGACGAAGAAAATAGTTGAAACGAGTTTTTAAAGTTAACGCTGCGCGAAGACTATGCAAAGAGTATCTAGTAACATTAAACACGAAACCATAGTTGCGTTATAAATCTATTGAAAATGACACGAATTCGATAGTTCAAAATAAATATCTAATATCGATATTTTTTGCCATGTCTAATGTCAGAAAAATTAAATAATTTTTGTTGATGCAAGTTTTTATTGAATACTTGATTTAATTGTAAAATTAATTACCTTTATTGCTTTTAAGTAGCGATAATATTATAATAGTGATGCCGGATAAACGTAATACAAAACAACCTGGAGATTTAGCTTCATTAGAACCTGCCGTGAGGGTTAAGCAGTTAGCGCATTATGGGACCATGGTTGATGTAGACTTTAATGTACCACCTAGAAGGTAAAACTTTTTATGAATTTAAATTGTTTGCAGTATATAAAACATACTTACAGCTCACTGTTATGCCGTGTTGTAAAATTTAATAATTTTAATTATCTTACTTTTCGTGTATGATGAAATTTTGTATAATGAAAGCAAAAACTTCGCAGGTTGATATTTCTGATTAAACGATACTATTATAGCTACATTAGCACTGACTGAATTTACTGTGCACTTGAGTAAATTTTTTTTTTATATTTAAACGCATTGGATGCAGAAGTACTTTTGTGCCACTTACATTTACATTATCTTTATGAAATTTAAAAATATTAAAAACTTTTTTTACATTTTTCTTATAGTTAATTCATATAACTTTCAATAAATGTTTCTAGATATTATAGATCAGGCTTAGAAATGGTGAGAATGGCCAATGTTTACTTAGCTGAAGGCAGCCTGGAAAATGCTTACATATTGTACATGAAATTCATGACCTTATTTCTTGAGAAGATAAGGAAACACCCAGAATATAATACAGTGTCGGCAGATATAAAATCTGATAACCAAATAAAATTGAAAGAAGTTATGCCTAAAGCTGAGAAACTTAAACAAAAGCTTCTTGAACAGTACACTAAGGAACATGAAATTTATAAAGAAAATGAGGTAAGAGCTTGCTTTATCTTGATCCAAAAACTGTTGTTATATCTACATTAAATTAATAATTCCAAGTATCTTGGTAAATTAAGAAAAATTTAACATAACTTAATTCTTAATTGAATTATTTATCTTAAAAGTGGTTTTTAGTTCACTCAATCAATGTCCTATTGATTTATATCTAAATTAAATAAAATTATAGTAAATTAAAAGGGTAAAATAAAAAAAAATGGTGATTTGGTGAGCCCACTTGCCTGACCATGTTGGCAGTACTGTGTATTCAGTTTTATTAATATTAATAAAATGTGCGTACTCTCTTAGTGAAAATAACAAGTTTTAAATTTTTTGTTCTTGTTGAACTGAATGCGACCGGAAAATCTGCATGTTGATTAATTCATTAGTGATTTTTCTCTATTGTTTGAATTTTTATCATTATTCGCATCTTTGAAAACACTGAAATTTATCAAAATTACGTTCCATTTCACGTTTCGTAAGATTTTTAAATTTCAAATAATAGCTAATTAAATTTTTTACGCATCTCCGGCAGAAAAAAATGCGTTAGAGTGCTTGGTACGAACCTCCTTAACCCCCCCAAACACTTACAGTGTACTTAAATTCAGGCGACTTGATTCAAAACCCAACTCAATGAAAATAACTCTGAATTTGCAATACATTAATAATTAAAATATACTGCATGTTGTTGGCTTATTTATACAATACTTGCAGAAGAAAAGACTTATTGCTGAAGAGGCGAGAAAGAGACAGGAACAAGAAGATGCGAAACTGGCTAAACGCCTCCAAGCTGATGAAAATAAGCAGGATACCAATGTAAAAACACCACACTTGCTACATGCGGTAATAACTTGCTTCACTACTACATATGTAAAGTGGTTTATTTTTCACAATGTATGGCATGAAAATAAAAAACATTATATTAGTGCAACAACTTATTTGCTTCGGTGCTAGAACTACTAGGTTCGATTCCCACACTGGATAACTGTGTAACTAATAGATAATTGCTCCATATCAGAGTGTTTGTTCCTAAAGAGGGTTGATGTTAGGCTGGTGGTTGGTCATAGAAAATAGCACTAAAAACATCATTTGCATGTTGTTTTTTCTTGTTGTTGCGACTATATTACCACAGTAATGTGCACATATATTTGATAATATATTCAATCTTTTGTAATTAATAGGAAGAATGGGCGGCGACACCATCAGCGCCTCCGGTGGATGCAGTCTTGTACCCGGATGATTTTGCTTCAGAACCAGTTCAACCTCCAGCACACAATTATCATCCAGTCCCACCCTTGATACCACCGTCACGACCACACCAGTAATTATATTTGTTTTTTCTAGCAATCTTAGCCTCCGCTCATAGGATATCATTATATGATATATCAATATCAATACCATGCAATATCACTATCAGGAAGTTTTTTTGAATAAAATCTGTATTTGAGTAGCAGATTCACTTGTCCACATGAACATTAAGAACACTTATGAAGAATGAAGTGGCGTGGTGAAATTGCATTTAAGATGTGTGCAAAGTTGACAAGCGAGCTGGTAGTTCACTTGATTTTAAATGATTACAAATGCGTTGTTGCCTTTTAAAACATTGACCAATAATTTCCTTACTCACCAGATGAAATGCAGAAGTATAATATTTGCACTTCACGCTGCTCCTTGCTCCTTGCTTTCTCTGAGGAGGTGGTATTACCCTGGAAGAGTCGCCCAATTGTGCAAGCAACCAAGGTCTTAAGCGAGATTGTGTTATTTCTCTGGTCGACTCTGCAACATCACAAGTTATGCTTGACTCTAATTGTGCCATTACATTGTCTTATCCATTATGTCCTTGTGTAATATTAGCATTAGTTGATTAGGAAACATATCTGCAGTGACACTAATGAGGCTCTGCCCCCCTTGTCGGCGGGGCGAAGGCTCCGTTCGGTCATCGTGCCAGCCACGCTGTTGGCCCGCTTCCAAACCCTGGCCGCCCCTAACACCGCGCGGAACATTGAACTTTGTGGAATACTGGCCGGCATTCTGGTACTTGACTCAAGTTCAAATATTTTTATTCAATATGCATTCATTATTCAAGAAGCATTACACTCACTTATTGATTATCAAAATACCACCGGTTTGGAAAAGAAAAGCCACTGATCTTTGAAGAACTGGCTAATTGACTCAGCGGGCCTTCTCTATATCATTATTAGACAATGAATATACAATATATTATAGTTCACTTGAAACACCCTGAAGCAATCAATTAGTTTCCAGGGTGTGTTATCATTTAAATAATCACTTATATTATAATAAACTGTAATGTGCAAATGTTCCTTTACAATATTAGTTAGTTATTAATTTAGCAACTGATACAATTTGAACACTTTCTGGGATTTTGTTGTAGAAACAAATTGCCCCATAAAAGAATAACTTATTCTATGCAATCTAGTAGTGGATAGAATTGAGTTATGTTTGTTTCTAGTATTTATATCATGCAAATAACTTAAAAATTCATTATTATTTTTATAGTTATAAAGATGAGGACACAAGTATGTACTGAGAAGCAACATCCTGAATTTTATCTTTTCCATTGATGACTAAATGCCTACCCACAACCACGTGCGTTACCGGTTTTTCCTAAAATAATGGGCTTGAAAGCTATATGAATATGAGCAAATGCTTGGTGGTACTGTAAACTATCAAGATGTCAATAATGTATCCTCGTTTGTGGCATGGTACTGGAATCTGTAGGGAAGGAGGCCTTGTCCTTGTGGCTTGGGCTTAAACAGGGTGAAATGATGATGAGTGGAATTCAGTAGATGCATTAGTCTTTTGCATATAAGGAATGTTTAATGTACATACTGAGTAAAAACTAGGCTTGTGACAGTAATGCAATAATAATGGATTGGATTCATTTTACACTAGACTGATTGAAATGGTGATATATATTTAACAAATTAATGATAGTCATCGTTGTTTTCGCTTTTAATAGTCACCTGAACCATGCCAACCAATAAATTATTTTCAGGAGCGGGATCAGCTTAAAATCACTCATGTGATAGTGCCCAAGCAGACTGGCACTGCAGACTCATGCAGCACAAATAATGAGGAGGAAATTTTCCATTACCAAGATCAACACAACCTTATAACCCTGGGATGGATACATGTACAGTATTATTTACTTTTGTTAAATAACTTGTATATTACCCTCTATCAAACAATATCTCTGCCCGCATTGTAAAATTATATACACTATAATAAAATAATAACTCACAATTACACCTATAACAGATACTTCTTACACATACAAATGAATGTTATATTACAAATTCAATGAATATATTTCACTCTTTCATCTATAGCTTTTAATTCTAGTTTCCTCAATATTTTTCCTAATTATTTAATGGAATTGTTAAATAACAGTTAAGGAGACAATTTAACGCCCCAAAAGCAAGTAGTTGTGTGAAATTTCGAACACAATCATCTTATTTTTCATCCTGTACCATAATTCAGTAGACTAGTGTAACACTTGCTTTTTATTATTATTTACTACATGATTTTTAATATATTACAGACACATCCGACTCAAACTGCTTTCCTGTCTTCGGTTGATCTGCACACACAATGTTCTTATCAGTTGATGATGCCTGAAGCCATAGCTATAGTTTGTGCACCAAAATATAATGAGTAAGTTTTTTTATTTTTCTAAATGTATTGTTACTAAATGAAAGTAGCCCTAAGTGGGACATATCGAGTTATTGCTCAAAAATTAAAAATATATAAACTTTGATTAAATTTCCACTGAAGGTTATTTTATAAATAAATAGTAAACATTTCAGAAATTATATTTTACAAGATAGTTCATCAGTTCATTAGTACCATTTAGTTCAAAAGGTAAGGGATACATACTTTTTTATTAAATAAATATACATTATAGATGTATGAACACTAGAAAAACACGTTCATCAGACAACATTTTCCAGTGCTACACACTCTGGCACAAGCGACAGTATGTAATAACTGTTTGATGTTAACAGTAAACTGTATATAACAACTGATGATAATAAGCATGACTTATAACAAAATATTAATCAGTAAACTTTTCAGGAAAAAACCATACAGATAAAACTTGTAAATACTTCTCATGTATGTGTATATTATAACACCGTCAATTAATTAGTGAAAGTAATATTAATCATAAATTATTAATTTAACAATTATATAATGAATTTCTTTGGTTTCTTCAGAATTGGTTACTTCGCATTAACTCCAGAATACGGAATGCAATTCATCGCAAACTGCAGACAAAGCGGTTTTCATCCACACCCCAATGACCCACCATTGTTTCATGTGAGTTAAATTTTAACAAATTTATCCAAAATCAACAAATAGTAGGTATACTATTTTTCACTCTATAATATTGGTTTTTTTTAATGAAGAATTGGATTATCTAGTCTTAGCAGAATGTGATTCGTTGTATACAAAGACTACGAAATTTGCAAAATTTATAACTTTGTGATACAAAGACTACGAAAGTGGATACCCTAATATATGACTCAGGGCTAATATATGACTCAGGGCTAAATAAATAAGATTAGAGGTATCAATTTTCATTCCAGTGAGCAAAACAAACCATTCTGCTTGAATAAATAATGACGAATCATGCAATATGCAGAGATCTTATTAATACAAATATATTTATAAATTACTATTATTAGTATTAAATGACCATTAAAACTATTAAAATTACTAACAAAATCTCCGCTAATTTAACACCTTTGTTCATATACACCTATATTTTTTTATAACATTGTGCTTACTGTAGAATATCACTATCCTGTGTTGTGATGATGTTTTACATACATAAATCGGTTACACAAATGTATCGGTTACACAAATAATTGTCCCGTGTGGGAATCGCACCCATGACCTCAGGCACCAAAGCCATTACCCCAGCAACTTTGCCACGGAGTCATCAATGTTTTCCTATAAGCAGTATCTTAAAGTAATATTGTAAGTTGTTTCATGCTTGAAAATAACACTTTCAGATTTTTTAGAACAATGAACTTATAGGTCACTTTCACATATTACAATTTTGATCAATTAACATTAAAGTGAGTTAATAATAATAAATAATACTAATAACTACAAGAGTGTAGTCTTCTTGGGCACAAGATTTATTATTATTAATAGCTCTCTATAGAGAGAGAAATAAAATAGATTGTGTTTGATTTCAGACTGCAACTCACATACGTCTCGACCAAACGGCGCCGGTTGAAATGGTAGATCTGAGGAGATGAACACTTACTACACATCAATCAATGTAGTCAGTTACTATTTTGATTTCGAATTGTGGTGGATAGGCAGTGCTAGAGCACTTACAAAATCAGTATTAGATTATGGGCAATTTAATGCTTTGTTAGTTAAAGACAGTAGACAAAGTGTTATATTGCTTTTAATTGAATTGAAGTGATTTTTGAATCGTAAAGCTTTGTATTGTTGAATTGATCTAAAGTATTGTAAGTCAAGTTTTGGAGACTTGTGTAGCAGTAACTTCTGGTCAATGTATATATTATATTATTATAGAACTATGTAATAAGTCATACCAGTCATAGAGTACCTGTGGTGATATTGTTTCTTGTCATATATCATATTGTCATTTAATATGAGCTTATTCAGCATGAATGTGGGCTTGGACTGTGATTTTTGATTCAAAATCAAACATGGCAAGGTGTAGTGTAAACATACTTTTGAATCATCTCTTGAAAAGATAACAGTGCAATATTGGATAATCAGTTGCTGTCTGATTTGATAGCAAATTGATAGCTAGCTGAGTCAATATTCAAACAAATGATGATTGATCCATGATGTGTTTTGTTTGTCCTTGTTTTATTTTGAATGATTGACAGGTTATGCTTTATAGATACTTCTTAGTATATTTCATACTTTGCATAGCAACATTTGCAACTTCTTAAATGTGCCAGCTTGACGAGGAAAGTTCTGCACTATGCATTTAGTTTTGTGAGGGAGTTAAACAGCAACAATATTGGGATTCGTTAAAAAGCTGTGTTTGTTAAAAATTAATAGGCGAGGTATATTAATAAGTATGGATATAGTAACTAGAAATTAATTTATTTCTTAAAACATGAATAGGGCTTGCTGTCTGCCTACAAATTTAGAGTTTACGATTTTGAGCTTTTTGCGTTTAAAATGAAAAATTATATTCACATCTCTATAATTAAAAATAAGAGGATAATAGACTGTGATTTTAATGCGTCTTACAAAGATGCCTAAAAATGCTTGTATAAATAAGTTAATATACAGCGTGTCGTTACAACCGCGACAATAAATGAACTACACGTCTAACGCTACTTGCCAATAATCATAAAAACATATAAAACTTAATTAACAAAATCCACATTTAAAAAAATATATTTTTCAAACAAACTAATTAAATAAAAAAGAAACAAAATTTGTAACACCTATGTATAAGTATACAACTACAACTGACTGATTCATACATTCAGGGACTTTTTCATTTGTTGCCACAACGTCGCATTACAAGTCTCTCCTTCTAACAGTATGTTTTATCTCTTTTAAATTCAACCCATTCATATGCTTTGTGACCTTTACCAATGAACTTTACGTTACAGTTTTATATGTAAGGTGTCCTAAAAATGTTTGATTTGTAAAATTTAATAACTCTGTAAATATTGATGTTTAAAGAATGTAAATGGTTAATACAATTTTAAAAAGTTATCCTGTTCAAGTGTTCATTTATTGTCGCGGTTGTAACGACACGCTGTATAAGCACCATTAATTTAGACAGTTTAAATACCGGTTGTATATTTGTTTAAGACTGTGGTATACAAAATATTCATTAGCGATTTGCATACCACTATTTCCATAAAACCATTTGAAACTAAAATAAATTTCTGATTTGGTTAAGCACGATTTTCAAATTGCAAAGGGTGTTGCAGAAAAAAGTATATTAAGTGTTTTATATTGTCATCATATAATTTATGTTTGTTATTTGTTAAGTATTTGATTATACTCAGTGTGAACTTGATTTGTATTTACGTTATTTTTAACAAGGCAATCTTTTGTCAGTCTGTTTTTGTAACTACTTACTTATTGATTGAAACTTTATGTATAGCTGAAAATTGGATTAAAAAAATAGAAAATCTTTTACTAAGTTCACATTCTCGTTCCTAGTCTGCTATATATGTCGTATGAAAATTAACTATTTCTAGTTAGATCATTTTTTTGTTTTGTGTAATATAATTTAATGTTTGTGAATCACAGTGTTACCTAGTGTCTTATTTAAAAAGTTTATATTTTATCATTGTTTATGGTTTTTCTCGGTAATGTGTAGATGTGTTTGTTGTTCTAAAATATGTTTATGTGAAAAGGAATTTTATGTTTTTTTTCAGTTTGCAACACTTTAGCTTCAATTTTAAATCATATATTTTTTTATTAACTGTTCCATTTCATTGAACACTGTACGATTTGAGATAGAAAAAAACCCTTACGGAAAATTTAAATTTTATTTAGAATGTCAATAAAATTATAAATGTCTATGTTTCAGTATTTCATGTTATAAATAAATGTTTATGTTTAAATGGTTCTACAGTTTTTTGGCTTATCAACAAAAATACTAAAGGCATTATTATTTCAAAACTTAACTATCTGTCAATTAACTAAGAATTTCTTAAGAAGGGTAGACGAAATTAAAAAAAAACATTAAACAATATAATAGTTGTGTCAAAAGTTTTTACTGGATATGAAGTATAATTGTAATAAACGCAAAACGGTGTAAATTTTGATGCCATTTTGTAAGGTTTAAAATAAATTAATTTTATTTCTTAAAAAGCATAAAATATCTGTTCTTTTAGGAAATGTTATTTTGTTACATTTTGTAAACAGATCTCATGTAATTAAATATTTCTATATAAATTTATTGTGAAAATTTCAATACGTTTTAATTTATATAGTGTCATTTAATAAAAGTTAAGCTTTTGGTAGCTCAACAACTTCAATTTATTGAAATTCGTGAGCATTAGAAGATCAAGAATCGTCAAACGCATTTCCTCCAGTGTTCAAAGGATCTTATGTATTATTTTGATCGGTAAATATATGTGTATATTATATATGTAAAAAATATTATATATACGGACCAATGTAAATGAAACACTAATAAATTTATAACACTATTTTATTTAGTTTTTTCTTTGCGCTTAAATGTATATGTGAACACATGGGCTGCAGTAGAAAAACTCTGTTTTCTAACATTCGAAATTGAAACAAGAAATAATGAGGGGGGAAATAATATGTAACTTGTTTTTCGCAACTCTGCATTATTTTAATTCAATTGTAAACTGTAGGCATTGCACTTTTCTAGGAACTACTGCTAGGTGCACATAATACACGTATGGTTAGTGCTGCACTAAAATCTATAACCCTTAAGAGACGAGAATAAGTGTTGAAGAACTAGTGTAAAATACAGATTGATTTAACCATAAAGACACTACCAACACTAAAGTTCTATATTTTATCTACAACAATAATTTCAGGCTAAATATGCTAGATTATCCGGAAGTGTATTGCAATATATATAATAGCTATCCGTATTATATTAAACTTAGAATCATACTACCTTAGTGGCAATCATCTACTTAGAAATATTTAAATTTTAATACCTATACCTATTACCAATTTAAAGGTATGTTACCAACGCAATAACTAAATATGGATAAAATGTTTATACTAATATGAGTTCAATAAATATTTAATCTTAATTTAACTAATATCATATCTTGCGGATAGAATAATATTGGGGTTAATCTATAATACCATATTAGATACACAAAGTCATTAAAGTATATGAAAAGTTATTTACAACTGTCGACTATTTATGGTTAATATAACACTAGTAATACTAAGCTTTTTACACACTACGGTTTTAATAAGGCACTTTGTGCGTGAAATTGCTCTTAGTTATGTGTATATTAAAATACTTTCATTTTAATTCGATTATAACATACCGTAATTATTAAAGCGACAATTAAACAAAGCAGTTTATGTACCTCAATTTGAAAACTAAACAACAATAGTTCGGTAAAAAATGCGAGGTAGAGACACTTCCTTTTTGCATAAATAAAATAAATCTTATATAAGCTGAATGCTTAACGAATTGTTAATGAATTTAATTGTCAAATATAATCTTGTATATTTCATTAACTTAAATATAGCTGGAAAACTTGCTATTATCCTGGTTTATCGAAAAAAAAAATTTCTTTCGGTACATTTCACTTCGATAACCTCTTGGCTTAACGCTTAAGCTATTCTTAAAATCTAACAAATATCAACGTAATTTATTTATTCAAATGTTATTTAAATTCTTAACTATAAGTTTTAACACACGTATATTTAGTTTATCAAATGTAGGAATATTGCTTTACTACTTGATATTACGAAAGCTCTAGAATGATATATCTGTATTGTTTATTAATATAGTTCTAATAATAAGACAATAATTACGTTAATTATGTAGATATGAAAACGACATTAACCTAATAAATTGTACTGTATTATACGTTATTAGCTATATAACAGATAACGTTCGCCAGTACAACGGAGTAAAACAGCCCGTAACTGTCCCCACGGTAGCGAGTCTGCGCGGCGTTTGCACTCTTCCTGGCCTTCGAGGGTGGTTCGATGTATATGGTCTTGTTCATCATCCAATAGTACACGTCCGTAAGCCCTTGGTCGGTCAAGTCCGGGCCGACAGTCTTCCGAATTCTCTCGTTGTACGCGTTCAACCAGTTTATCTTGAAAACATTCATTCATTTAAAATTGAAAGGTTTGAGTAGTAAGCCCCAACGACCACTGCGACCTAGAAACATTTGTATTCTTCCCTTTGAAAACAATGCCCCTTTACTGTATGATAACACTATCGTGTTTTGTAAGGAAATTTTACATACATACATTTCACGTGGACGGACACCTAGATCCGAAACATTTTTCTGTGGGTCACACGAATAGTTGTCCCGTGTGGGAATCGAACCCACGACCCCCGGCGTCGAAGCAAAACAAATTGGCAACTGTACCTCGGAGTCATCAAAAACTTTAGATTCCTTTTAAATGTTCACGTACGTGTAAAATCTATTAAGTAGTACATATATAGTTGTGTGAGCTGCAATATCGAATTTGCTATTTATGGTCGCGGATTAAAATATTTATGACGTCTCCCAGTGGGTTGACCGTATCGAAAATACTATCTAATAATTGCCGAGGTAAGGTCACCGTCATCGTAAAATAAATCGGTTAAATGTAAAAAGGATATGTTATATTTCTTCGTAGGGTCAAAGTTCTTAGTGAAATCTCACCTCGTATTCGGTTAGCAAATTGCGATCGATAAGTTTAGGTTCGAAGGGCAGTAGTGTGGCCTCACGGAATCCTAGGTACCCGTCCGGCTTGGCGACCACCAGCAGGACGTTGCCGAGCTTCACACCGAACTTTCTCGATTCGTACCAAGCCGGTTCTAGAAATTAAATACAACTCGTACACTTGGATATATCGTTCATGGGGGTATCCGTTATTAGTTCACTTACCGCTTGTCACAAAGTATCCCTCTCGGAAAGTGTGCAAGTTGGTGTCTTGCCTGTAGTCGATGACGACCGGATCTGCAGGTACAAAATCGAATATATAATAGTATTAAAACGTTGCATGAATGTAAATTTGGACCTTATACGTATTTACTGATCTGTGATATGCGCCGAGAACCATAGAAGTTTGTAGCTATATAATAAGTTACGATAAGAAGTTAAGACGATAAGAATATAAAAGAACCACTTACAGAGTAGTCAAGAAACGTATTCCTATTTACCCAACAAAAGAGACCAAAGAAACGAGGAATAAAAAAGAAAAAGTAAGTCGAGCATCGTGTTTCGAAGTTTCCACTCGAAGCCAAGCTTTTTACAATATTTCGCAATTTCAATACGTGAAGTAAACAACATGAATAGAACGACGATGTAAATTAAAAATGGGCGATGAAAATACGTTTAGAAATTGACGGGAACGGATGAATCTTTTAAACGTTGTATACGAAAAAGGAAAAACATTAATTTTTACTTTCCTCCAAGTGCCAAGAGGAGGAACGCAGGAAGGCAGCATCCGTTGTTTTACCGCCGACATTCCCCGTGTTTGAAGGGTCTATCTTGAATGAAAGACCCTTCAAACCCGGGGAATGTCAATGTGATGTGCCTAATGAACAGGCGATTCGCTTGATGTTATATAGCAACCGCCGCCAATGGAGACACTGATAGGTTGCTTATTTTTAAAGAGTGGCTACCATACGCACCAGACAAAAGCAAAAAAAAAAAGGTTGCAGATGCGTTGTCTCCTTTTCTTTAAGTGGCCACGAGTTTACTCACTCACCAGATGAAACTTAAAAGTATAACACTTCAATTTCACTCCGGTCTTCTGTGAGGTCGTAGTTTCCCGTATGGACCTGACCATTCGTGCAACAGCGATAGTACAGTACCGTTGCGTGGCCCTAGCGCATTTAAATTTAATACCATAGTTTAAATTGCCTCCTTGTACGTCACGCATTTTGCTTCAATCAGGTTAACTCCGTCTGATTTCGATGCGATCTCCATGTTTATGTACTGATGGCTGTGGGCTTTAGTTTGAAAATGGAAGGTCTGATTTCGATGCGATCTTGATGTTCATATACTGGTTGCAACACTGATTGAGTTCTGTCAAGTGGTGGAGTTCGAAAATGGAAGGGCATACCCTCGCGGCGGTTGAGCGCAGCGCCCACCCCGTGGCCGGTGGGCGAGGGGTAGTCCTGGGCGGCGGTCCAGAGCGGGCCCCTGGCAACGGGGTCCGCGTGGGCGGCGGGCAGAGTGCCCGGCGCCTGGAGGGTGCTCAGCGCGGCTAAGGAACGCAGCACGGTGGTGCGGAACGGTCGCCTAATTCCGTGGTGGGGCCACGCAAGTGTTCGCCGTTACCCTGGCACGCGGAACGGTCGCCTAATTCCGTGGTGGGGCCACGCAAGTTACCGTGGCGGGGCCACGGAACAGTGTTCGCTGTTGCCCTGCACGCGGAACGGTCGCCTAATTCCGTGGTGGGGCCACGCAAGTGTTCGCCGTTACCCTGGCACGCGGAACGGTCGCTTAATACCGTGGCGAGGTCATGCAACAGTATCGCTGTTACCCTGGTTCGCGGAACGGCCGCTAAATACCCCGGTGGGGCCACGCAACAGTCGTGTTGCACGGATGGGCAGGCTCGTCCGGGGAAGTACCGCGGCCTCACAAAAGAAGTGGAAGTATTATATCTTCGCGTATTGTCTGGCGAGTGTTACCTCACTGGGCGTCCTCTTTTCTTAAAATTGCCAACACATTTAAAAGGTGTTGTAGATGTTTATGTAAACGCCCTGTTAGGCGAATCCAGTTCAAGCATTGTCTATAAAATAGTCCACTTAATTTGTGGATTAAACAGACATAATTAAAAACATAATCATTACGATCATATTGAAATCACTCTATTTTTACTTTATGTCGTTTATAATTATAATTTCGTGAACAGACATTCGAAGGCGTTCTTCCTAGCAGAGAAGCTTTTAGTACGTGTTCGAACGATTTGATTGATTTGATTATTGTCTAAGGTAGACAATAACTATGAACGAATAGATTCGTATATGTTCACAGCGAGTCGATTGATCGAGTCTAAGATAGTAAAACCGAGTATTACTCGGCACGAGCGAGAGCCGAGCATTGCTCACCATGCTCTCGATGTAGCTGAGCACCGTGCACATCGCGACGGCGTCCCGCAGGTGCGCCCTCCTCATGCCCCTGATCTCCGCGTCGTTCTTCTGCGCCTTGAAGTAGATGATGGGCGAGGACTGGAACAGCCGCTTGGACTGCGGCACGCTCTGGGCGATCGCGGCGGAGGCGCCCCGCTGGAACGTGTCCCCTGTGGGGATCAGGATCTTCGTCTCCGACGCGCGCCGCAGGTCAGCGTAGATGGTCGTGTAGTCGTTCACTCTGGAACATAGATGGCCAGTGGTGGGTCTGCCCTGAGGCCCAATAGGCCCGCGCCTAGGCGGCCACGTATTGGGGGCGGCCAATCGTGACGAGAAATTCACTGATGATAACAATATATATGGTATGGATGATAACAAGATGAAAAGATGTGATGGGCGCTGAGAAAGGGGCGGCTGGAACTTACTACATGGGCTGGGGCCTAGGGCGGCCGTGGCAATGGCGTGTATACCAACGCTCCGTCTGGTTGGTCTAGTTGTTTTTATATCGTGTAAAACAGGTATGTGTAGGGCCTCAAACCCGTGGATTCTGACAGAACCGGAGGACAGATCTACCGGTTCTGGCTTCGATGAAGCTTAATAGTCTAAGGACTGTAAAAGTAACGTCACTTATAAAAAAAAGGGTCGTTAAAATCGAGTAAACTGTTCGTTGTCACTGAGTGACATCAGCTTTACCGCAAGCCCACACGCCACATTCTCACATAAAAAGAACCACCCTCATCCTTAGCCTACCTCGTGCAGTTGTTGGCGGTTGCGTAGCAGTTGTACACAGCGAGCGCCTCCCGCACGGGCATCGAGAGCTTGCCCGGCGGCGCGTACACGCGGACCTCCTTCATGCTGACCACCACGAAGGCCTTGAGCAGCGGCGCGTACGGCACGTCTCGGCCCCTCACGTTCAGCAGCCAGGCCACCTCGTCCAGTGACGTCACCACCATCGCGTCCGCGCCCAACTCGCGCAGCTCGGCCCTCACGGCCGCCACTTTGTCGCGCCACGTCATGCCTGCCGACGAGCCAGAAGTAAAGAGGTAGGTGTATAGGCACCGTTTGCATATGGCGCGGACATCTTGGATGCAAGTCCTAAATTTGAGGTTCTACTCATAATATTGTGTGTGCTACTGTAGGTTTTGTGAGACAATACTATAGGATATCTTCTAGGTATTTTATAGGTTTAGCTTTTCGCCCGCGGCTACGCTCGCGTTGAAGCCCTTAAATAAATATCTTTTTAACCTTTCAACACTTTTAAACACTTTTTTCCAAAAAAAAAATAGCCTATGTCTTTTCTCAGGCTTATGCAAAACTATCTGTGTACCAAATTTCATTTAAATCGGTTCAGTAGTTTTGGCGTGAAAACGAGACAGACAGACAGAGTTACTTTCGCATTTAGAATGTTATCATCATATGAATCTGACCTGGATGGTCAGATTCACATTATGACACGCAATACGTTTATGTCGATTTGATGATATGATGGGAGGATGCTGCGCTTACAGGAAATATACACGAACATTATTGTGGTACCTAATAGTTATAAATTTTAAAATCATAACGGAATGTCTTGCAACTTTAATCGAGCTATGCTTGTCCTATATATTAACATCATACATCTCGGAAACGGTTAAAAAAATTGGGTTAAATTATTGATGCTTATCTATTAAGTCTTTCTTTAAAAACAATTGGGTTAAATTATTGATGCTTATCTATTAAGTCTTTCTTAAAAAAAAGAAGTTTAAAAAAACATTTTTTCATTCCGAATTGATAGCCTCTTTCATAAAGCGCCCTCTAGTATTTGTTTTGATGTACTTTGCACGTAATTATGTTTGCCTTTCCGTACCACAAAAATTTGTCAGATGGCGCTGTACACTATCTTCATACAAATAATCTTTTTTAGGTAACACGCTTATATTAGTTTCACCTGTATGTATGTATGTAATTATGTATGTTTATAACGGAATTTTGAGACGTGATGTTGCCCCACTTTGAACGATCAGATTTGAATCAAATTTGCATACTCGTCAAACACCCATGACAATGCTAAATAATTTAGATAGTTTTTTCCACCCTGACAAAAAGGAAGTAAAACAAAACTAAAAAGGAGTATTTTAACCCCGAAAAGTAGGAGCGGAGTTAAACCGGCTGCTTTTTTGAAGTGAAAAGGCTCGATTGGGCTTTTGTTGGTTTATTGGCATCGCTTCGACTGAAGCCTGCCAGCAGCAATGTAAGATTCAAATCCCCATAACTCGTACAGAACGACCGCTCAGAAAGCCCTACACCCATCCAATCAGGCCGATTATTAATTATTATGTAAGTAGGACGTGTTTTTGAAATATACTATCGGTTTCGATCAATAAATACTCGTCTTACCCGTGTATTCCAGGTTGTGCAAGTTCGCAACGATCCTGGAGAACTCGGGGCGTCGTAGCCCTGGGCTGGGCTCGTCTGCCCACAGCTGGTCGATGAGGGTCTGCGCGTGCACCAGCTGCATACCCTCCCGCTGCAGGTTGCTGAACAGCGACTGCCACTCCATCACCGAGGTCAGCCGCGCGTCCGCACCAACCCGCCCGTTGCGGCCCGGACGCTCCTGCCGTGAATATTATAGAGTACTGCCTCCACCTTTAGGTGTTCTCATGTTCCCACGCCCACGTCCCCGGCTAATGCGATAGTGCAGGTGCAACGTGGATGTTTTAGTGGGTACCAGTTCATCCCGGGACTCCCATATACCCCAGCGACTCCCCCGATTCCGTGCCAGGGGATCCATAAAGGATTTTTTCCACGTAAAAAAAAAGGTTGTGAATATTCTAGAGTACTTGACGCGGCACTCTAGATGTATTTACTCTAGAAGTATGGTATCCACGGACGTAAGACGTCATATTTTTTGGCTACTGTATTATCCATGGACGCTTGAGTGATTAAAATAGTAATAAAATAATAATATAAGCAATTCCATCTCTGACGGGTTTTAAAATGTTTTCAACCATTCTAAATTAAAACGTCGAATCATCAATACGTATTACAGTATAGGAGAGCCGTGATAGCTCCGAGTTCATCGAATATTCGGCAAATGACTAAGAAATTGTTGATCGCAAAATTACGAGCGGGCTTCTCCACGAGCTCAGCGGTGAGCCGTCGAGACGGTAACGTCGCTTTACCGCTTGCGAGATATTAAGCCGGCGCGGTCTCACCGCGATCCATTCGGTGATCGTGGGCTGGCTGGGGTCGTTCTCGTCGACTACGAGCCAGGCGCACGAGACGGTGGCGCGCGCCCGTCTCACGTCCCCGCTGGCCACGAAGAGCGCGGCGCCGCCGTCAGCCAGCACCGCCGCCGTGCCCGCGCCGTCCCACCCGCTTATGTACTGCAGTCGACGCTCCTCCGGTGCCGGCTCTTCGCTCTGCGCGGATATATGCACCGTTTATATTCCCTATGTATCGTTTGTGGACACAACGGTCGACACGCATGCGGGGGTTCCCCGCAAGCAAGGATATCCCATATTGACGAAGCTCTTTCACCGATGCTACCGTAGAGTTTAAGACTCGCCTTGAGAAATCCGCCGCGCTTGAATGCGTTCCAACCGGCCAGTGTAACGGAGAGGTTTATTTATTTTATCACTACATTACCTTATCTATTAGGGTTCAGAAACATAAGCATAGCACTAAACCATCAAAAAATTATTTAATTTGCGAGTTCCAACGCAAAAAAATTAAAAGCCAACCTCATAAGAGCATATTGACGAATCGGTTTGAGGCTGTAAATTATATTTGTATTATTCTGTGTATTTGTTTATATATATATATATTCGGCGACGGCCTGGACGTAGCAAGGGGCGCTAAAATTCAAGTATAACAAAACAATTTTCACAGGGGAGGCGAGAGGCCGCTTCCGTTTACTAGGAAACAGATTTTATTATGTAGAGACCGATTGAAATAGACAACAAAAGTTCAATTCTTATATAGAAGTAGAAACTTTCTCAATATTAAACAAGCATCATATAATGACTGCAGCTACATAATTTTAATTAAATTCAATAACTCTCGATTTTTACGGTAAAATGATTTGAAAAAACCTTATTATTATTTATTTATTTAAGCAAAAATACAATTTAGGCAAAGTGAAAACACCGACTAATGGGGCGCCGAAGACAATCTTGCTCTACCCTTATCATAATATTTTTGTCACTCGTTAATCACGACGACATATCAAATAATTCATTAGGAACGTTTAAAAGCCAAGACATATTAGCATAACGGATTTTAAATTTCATACACGTCCGTCCACGAAATTTTCGTAAAAAGGGGTACAAAGTTTTTGCTTCACGTGTATAGATATTAACTAATATTCTTATATTTAGCATAACGAACTTTCGAAATGTATTGAATGATTTCCTTACCAAATGTTCGTCGCTGTGGAACACCAGGAAGGCGTCGAAAAACGCGTTCGACTGCGTGTAGCTGACATTCTTCATCGCACTTCGCAGCCGGCCGAGGGGGGTGCCAGGGTAGCTGGCCTCCGAGCAGATGGACTGTGGCGCGGTCGGGAGCTCCTGGACGATGGTCAGCGGTTCGGGCAGGCGGGAGATCATCGTTGGCAGTTGCGTTGTGGTGCTGCTGGTTTGTGGGGAGAGCTGCGAACGAGCGCCGTCGCAAACTGCAAAGGAAGACCAGAAATTTACGAGGACTTGGCAGATTGTCAGTGGACTAAATCTAAATCCGTATCGAATATATTTCTCAGCACCTGCTTATTTTCAGAGAATAATACATCAATATCGCCATATATCTCCATACTTTAAACTATCTTTGTGTTGCGTTGCTGTATTGTGTGCTTGTATTATCAGTATGGATGAGTAGATGGCTTTTACTGACGGGTTCTTCACGAAAATCTTCGAAAATCTTTTTTTTTTAAATTTTCAATTAAAAAAATTGCCTATGTCCTTTCTCAGGCTCTAGACTCTCTGTGTACCAAATTTCATTTGAATCGGTTGAGTAGTTTTGACGTGAAAGCGAGACAGACAGACAGAGTTACTTTCGCATTTGTAATATTAGTATGGATGACTACAGGGTAAAAATTCCGAACAGTACGTCTCGTTTTTCAAGCTAGAAAAAAATTTTAATCGATAGAGGAACATTAATAATTAAATATTACATACATGAAAACCAAGGCAAACACTTACTTTTAATAAAAAAAAAATTAAAACTTGTTGTTTTCACTAAATAAATCCGCCATTTTGTGTTTGACAACATGTATAAATTTACGAATTCACACACTTTTCCAAATTATAATCTTCGCATTATTAAAAAAGAGTCTTTAAAAATACTAAAAGTACTGTTACACTAAAGTTTTCTGGGTGGTCATAAAAAAAGAACCTAACAACGAAGGCTAAGGCCTTCTAACCTAACCTATCCGAGTCGGATCGCTCTGTGTCGGATTTGTGACTCATTTTGAACCTTATATTCGAGACATTAAGTGTACACTAAGTCACAAATTTTAAATTTTAGAAATTGTTAATAATACATGTTCATGAAGAAGAAACTTGTGTTTTTGTGATATATCTGTGTATTTGTGTCTTCTTACAACGTAAAAAGTGAAAACGTAAGTTTTTAACTTAAAATAATAGTCTATAATGAATAATGGACGCACAGTAATGACGGATTTCAGTTGTATGAAATTTAAAAAGTTTGTTAATTTTTTCCTCATAATCTCCACTAGATTTTTTTTTCACTACTTTCATTACTTTCACTAGACTTTTTCATTGATTATAACTTATATAATATTTAGTTATTAACATTTCTCTATAGATTAAAATTTTTTTCTAGCTTGAAAAACGAGACGTACTATTCGGAATATTAGCCCTGATTTCTTTTGTACTTTTATTTTCCCGGACGGTTCGTACTGCTGGGTTTTCGCTTAAATTTGAATACTTTAGATCTGAAAATGATTTCTTTATTTGTTAGTTCCGGAAACAGAGTAATTTGAGCCGTGTTAAAATTTTATTAAAAGGTATTTTGCCTTTATAATGTTAAGAACTCATCAATTTTTAACTACAAGGTAAAAAATAAAAGGAACGGTTCGAGTTCATCCCGTGTCATACTCCTCAAGTAATGGCGGAGCTTTGGAATTGAATGGTTGCCCTTAGCAACCGAGAGAGACGGAATGCTCTCTGCCTCCTGCTCGAAGTACACGCAGTTCCTAAAAGTTCACAACTGGCGGAGAAAGCGGCTAGCGACAGCGGCGTTAGTGGCGCGGGAATGTACCAGGGTAGCATATCGTACGAGAGATTCAAACTGAAAAAGCTTCCCGAAAGCTTACTTGTGTGACAAGGATAACAAAACGGATGCGTGCCCTCCCTTTTTAGCACGCTTCCCCCGACTCCAATGTGAATGTCAATGGACAGAATCGGTTATACAGGAGGCGCGTATCAAACTGTTTTCGAATACTGATTTTTTCGTTCGATTGTTTTCCTTCTGGTACAAAAAAAAATAAAAGGAAAGGAATCAAAAGTTACATGAAAAATTCACATAGATTTTAATAGTAAATGTATACGGATGTGAAAATGCCATAAAATGGATGTGCAACTACGCAGATGGTGCGAAAACAAAAACTGAGAACAATTTTATTTAAATGTGAGGGCATTATGGTTCACGCTCCTTGGTTCACAACAAATGATGAAATTCATCAAAATCTGAACTTGCCGAGTGTCATATCTGAGATCGGGCGATACAGAAAAAAATATATAGAGCGGCTATCCTTACACCAAAATACCGACTGTGGTGGTCAAGAGACTTAAACGTGATCACCTTATTTAATTGGTAGGGGCGGCGTTAGCTACCCTGCCAGAAAAGCCATAAACCATCACGCAACAAATTCGCTTATGGTCTAACGACAATATGCGACACAAATTTAACAAGAAAAAAAATTATTTAAAAAGGCTTGGGAGGTACCCAGGGGATGTGGCTGCTATTGTGATGACGTCAGCATCTAACAGGACATTATAACTCACAAACAGGTTGTTTTATTACCTTCTCTTGCGATAAGTGTTTCCAATTTTGTCAAAATAAATGAATCATACATAGCTATGTATGCTTATTCTGTTTAAAAATATGATTGTCTTTTGTTTTTAAATTAAATAAATAATTCATACATACATCACAAATTGAATCTTCCAAAATGCTATTTTTAACAAGTAACTCACGGCTTACTCAAATAAAAGTCTTTAAACTAAGTACCAGACAGGAAATTATCGTAGCCCGATAATTAAATGAATCATATATTTAATGCTATGGATGTGTGACTTGTTTCAAAATAAGTAAGATAAATGTTTAATTTTTTTAAGCATGCATAAATGTATAACGATAAAGAAAACGTACAGATTGTTGTAGGTTTGTTTTGCCTCTATCCCTTAGGAGGTGATGATAGAGCATTCCCAAAGGGACGAAATATCCTGCGGTTTACCAGGGTAGCATAATAGTAGAGAAGTTAAAAAATGACGCGTCGTCCTGCGCAAGGATAAGTACCAGCATTCAAGGATAACAGGCAACGACCGTTGCCGGAGTGCAACGGCCGCTCACTTGCACTTTGCACAGTATGCAGTCGAGTCATGCGACGCGTTAAGAGCATTTTCTATTTATTTACATATTACACATGTAAATATTTCATGTTGTACTTATAAAACGAGTAAAAAATATTTATTTCATAATTTTTTTAACAGCTTAAATAGGTATTACTAGTCTATTATAGGATTTATTAAATACATTGCGACAAAAAAGTTTGTAAGTCATTGAAAGGGAAGGTAAAAAAATAATTAAAGCATCTTTGAGCGAATGGAACAAATCGGTCGTGCTGTTTGTTCTCAAAACTCCAAAGGAAATTTTCAATAAAAGCCCGAACAATAGGTTGCCCCCTTTTTATACCAGGAAGTATATAACTTCTGGGCAGATAAACCTTTCAAGGGGCAACAGAGAGATACTGCGAGGTGCGTAAAATGTGACTGAAACAAAAACAAAAAGTTACATTGCCTTGGGGGTGTGACGTGAACAAAAAGCGATCTCTCTCTGTCTTTGTCTACGAAAGTATGCGTGCGCCTACAATGACGTCACATTTAACCAAGCCTTCATAACAAGGAGAGCGGTTGGAACGGGGCATGACGTTTGCCTGGCTATGACGTACACAAATTCTTTACTATGATTAAGAAAAAATTATAATAATAAAATGAATTATTAAAGAAGAAGCCTTTGTATAATAAATATGCTACAAAGAAATTCATTACCTTATTAGGTCTAATTTTTCTTAAGTACATTCTGTTTGAATTGCAAACATTAACTTTTTTTCATAAATTCATTTTTCATATAATACTATGTACATTAATTATTTGGATACTATTACTGAACATTATAAACACAAAAATTTCGTATTCAAAAGTAGCAAACTAGAAAAAAATATTCTGTTGTCTGAATGGATTTAGTGCGAAGTTACTAGGAGCACCTAAATAAGCTGAAGATGCATGCTAGACTGTCAAAGGTATTGGGCACCTACACGAGAAGGTTTAAAATAAGGAATTAAGGTGGATCTTATTTACAACATTTATAAACGGTATATATACACTTTTACATAATTATATAGAATATACTATATTTTTACTACAAGCTGTAAATTATATCTCAAATATTTACTTGTTCCTTAATCTTTCTACTTTATTTTATCCACTACAATACAAATGATAACTTTCACCTTTATAAAAAATCTAATTTTTAAAAATGTATTCTTTATTAATTAATATACGTTTTATAACTTGGTTGTCCCCTTGCTTCTTGCACACGAAAATAACATGTCGCATTAGTGTTAAACTAAATGTAGCGTTACAACGCATGTGCTTGTGTAGAGCGTGAAATGTATTCAGAATGTAGAACCAACAGAGGAGCTGCATTTCCATCTATCTATCCTTGTTGCACCAGCCGTGTTGCATTTGAAAATGAGGAGTGGCGACGCATTAGCAAGCGATATCATAATGAAACGATAATGCCAGGCTCTTCGTGTTGCTGAAGCCCTGGTGCAACTGTCGGTTTTGACGCATGTCACTGCGTCTGGGGGCGTGTGCGGCGTGAATTCGTTATGTCACTCACGGCTTGTCTGTCCTCCTCTCCTTTGAAGGTTACCCTCGTTTAATGTTTTTTGCTTTACCTTCTTTCTCTACACTACGTCTTTTGTTTTGTTCTTGTTTAATTCGAATGTTTGGTATATCCGTATAGTTATTATTTTATTTTCTCTTTGAAGAGAAAATAAAATTTTAATTTTGATATCAGGAGTAATCTTCGGATTTGTTTCTGTGCGTGCATAAACTATGTTGTGTGCTTTACTCTCGATAAAACTTTTCGTTTTATATTTCTGTAAATAGGTTGTAGGTAATATCATGAAACCCATAATCTATAAATAAACTTTTATATATATGCTTAAAAATTTAAATCAAACAATAAAATTTCCCAACCCTCAAAAAGAACCATTTTTTTATCTGTGTGACGTGTGCATATATGATGATGGTTCAAAGGGTTGAACGTATGAGTAACATCGTACCAGGACATCAGAGACTTGAAAGAGGACGTTGTCACATATGCACATATATTTTACGTGTGTTGTTTCCCATAGACATTTAGGGGTGTGTCCAAAGCGCGTATGTGTGAGTGGGCGTATACTCCGAGGGTTAAGATGTACACAATTAATGATGTAATATTTTCGCATACGAATGTTGCTGACGATGTAAATTTATATTTTGAATTTAGAAAAATATAAAGGTTATTTTTGCTTTCATCTAATCTAATCAAAAAAGTAACAACGTCACTAGGTCGATGGGTAAAACCCTAAGTACTTATTACATCTTAGATTATGTTCTGTTTCTTAGAAACCTTTAACAAAAAACATTGCACATAGTAAGTCGAACAGTCACATTTACAAAAAACTACACAAAAATTTTTGTTCCATGCGGGATCGATCGCACAATCTGCACGATTTTTATCGTCATTTTCTATAATCATCACTAAGTACTTTTTTTGAGATAGGATATAGTATAAATAAATGACATAAGTTCAGTTTCACGAATCAAATACACCTAATGGGTTCATTTCTTAGGGTTCGTTCCAACGAGTTTTCAATGTTTTTACTTTCAATTTGTCAATTCTATTTGAAAATTACGTACCGTAATTTAGTTTAATAGAGTAAATTACGACTCTTAAAATTCCCGTTGTTCATTATGCTGTTATATTACTCAGCCATAAGGAGTCATAATGATTTTTTTAATTGCAAAACGCTTTCTTTAGTAACTAACTTAAGTAATTAGGTTCTGGTGTTTCTTATGGGAAATTATTATGATTACATTTAATTTAATATAAACGTATTTAGCGTCCTTGATCTATTCCATCTTATTCGTGGCTGAATCAAGTTACAAGTAATACTTTTACTATAAGTGAATGTGATAAAAAAGATATTATTTCTAATTCTACCCATGGTTACGAACCATTATTAATTTAGGCGTAGTTATAATAATTCTGCTACGAATTATAGTATTATAAAAATGCATAGTTAAAATTCCATTGGACTGCTTTAGGTTTCTGGTGGCCTGGTAGTTGAGATTCATGTGAGGCCATCTTTGTCGAAACGCCCTACCCCCCCCCCCCCCCCCCGCTCTCTCTCATTTTGTTTCTTCAAATACCTAGTTAAAAAGTTAAGACGTCGCGAAGAGAACTGACCAGTCAGAATTTAGACTAATAGGCAGAAAAAAATTATTTTTAATTTTATTCAATGTTGTCCGGATTTAAGTCGTATGTACAAGATACCGTCGTCGGTCGGATCCGTTATATTGGTTTAAATTTTGTATAGAAGTGTATGACTATTTATAATAAAAACATGTTTTTATAGAAAAGCTATAAAAAAAAAAAACAAAAACATTTATGAAAGAACTCGATTCATGACGACAACGCCCTCGTGGTGGGTGCTCTTCGGTAATATGCTTGCCTGGTAAGCGAAGTCATTGGGAGTGACATGTCCAATTTTTCTTCTCCATTTCACGATCCCTTCTTAATTTTTTTTATCAAACAGCATTTTTTTCTTCGCATTCTTGGCCCCACGTTTTTGAGTAATTAAATCAAATAAAAATTATGTTAAAATCTCATCCTCAATTCTTAGAAAAACTTGTATGAGTACATCGTTATTATTATCCAAGTTTGTTTTCTCAGTCAAAAATGAATTGTTTAATTTAAAAAAAAAATGACAAGAGCCCTCTATGAAGAAGAAAAAGGATTGGATCGTTTTAAAATGAGGTTTTAAAAACATTTTCGCAGCAGTAAAATTTCAACGGAGCCCTTAAATTTATTTATATTAAAATACACGATACTAGGAACCCAGAATGTTCGTGGAGTGGAAAAAGGTCGATAAAGGGTCTGTCATTATTACAAGGTTTACTTACGCAAGGGGCGTGGTCTCTTCAGCCAATCATAAGAAAGCGTCTTACGCAAGAACTTACGCACACTAAGGCTGCTGGCCCTTCTTTCTGTACCCAGCGAACGCGGGCCAGTTTAATCTTAAAAGTATTAATCAAAGCCTCAAAGTATAAAAAGTATTTCTTTTGTAATATAATATTATGAACTGATTCAGGGAATTTAATACATTTCTATAGAAATGTACGTTTTTCAGTCGTAATTTAATTATTTCAGCTAAGTGACATAAGTGCGATAGAAAATACATAATTATGACAAAAATGTGTTTTTAATAATAACTGAATTAATAATAACAATAACTATATCTTAAAAATTAACTATAATAAATATTTATATTATTATTAATAGCAGTTTAAAATTAAAGTTTCCTCATTTATTAACAATTCATACAACTATTGATGAAACTGAAATAATTAGGAGTAATATTTAAAATTTGAAAGTCGGTAAACATTTAAGATCAATAAAATAAGCAGCTATGGAGACTGCAAATAGAAGTGAAAATTTAACACTGAAATAACTGTTTATTTTTAATTTTTGAAATCATGAATAATTAAAATCACAAAACTTAACTTAAATTTTTACCAATCAAAAATTGCACAACCTGCTTTCAGAATTCTTCGTTTCAAAACTATTGAACAATTAAAAAGTAAATATAATACATACTAAATGGGTGAAATTATAAAAAGTATAAAAAGTACGTACGCTACTTGTCCTAACAAAAGATATTGTCGATGAGTTAGGGAGGGGACCATCATTGTTAGTTTATTGGAAATATATCGGCGATTGCTGATAATGTCGAACCGTTCGGAAAATACCAAGGCTTCATGGATGCGAGAAGGTGCGTTGAACAGAAATCGATACCCCAATACCTACCTAAAACGCTGTAACGAAGTTTATATAATATATATTGAATCTTTGGGCAGGTGACGTCAACATCGACGTCAGTCGGGGATGTGCGAGTTGGTGTTTAAACCGGTATGGAAGTTGTCATGACCAATAAATAATAGTTATATATTTCATCTGCCATTGTTGTATAATTTTGAAAAATGGTAATCAATAAAATATAAAATTTATAAACTTACTATCAATATAATAATAATAATTTTTATATTCATCATTATCACTAACAAAGAG